CAATTTATTACCACATCTATTTAATGATAATATTATAAATATCTTAATTATCATTTTACTAAACATTCTTAAGCTTGTTCATCATTTCACTAAATGTTGTTTTGCAAGAGCTTTTCATTTTAATATGAATATGTGTGCGAATTGTGGCCAATCAATACATCCTCAATACTCACCTCTCTATTATTATTAAGCGCCTTTATATGACTATTAAATAAAGCTTTTAAAGTTTAATTTTTTGTGTGAATAATGTTAAATGCCTAAGGATAATATTTATATAAAATATCAGTAATCTAAATTAGTAATTATTTTACCAAACAAAAAAATGTGTAACGTGATTTTTCCAGAAAGAGGTACTAAAAACAGTTTATTTGAAATATTTTTTTTTTAATTGCTCCACATTTTGACCAATTTTGAGATAAATTGGTCCAATAGATAAAAAGTTAAAGGGTGGTGGCTAGTCTTCACACATGGCCATTTATGGCACATTTCCCCTACTTCACTTTGATTAGTTCTAGGGTTAAGTTTATCCAAATTAAATGTTTTATAAAATGTATGAACTATAATAATATAATATCTTATATAGCCATTTATCACAGTTACATTTATATAAAAACATTCAATGGCAGCAAAATAGGGAAATTTTATATTTTCATTCAATGAAATAAATAAATAAACATTACATTCTTATGCAAAACAACTTGTGTAATTATTTCATTTTAAATATATTCATCCTTGTCTGTATTTATAACTTTTATAAATAAAAATCAGTCAGGTCTATAAATTTTTATTATTTTGATAAAGATTCTCTTATAAAAAAATAAGAGTTAAATGTTTGATTGGTTTACCATTATCAATATATTCAAAACTCAGATATGTAAAATGGCATAATAAGAAATTATAATAATTTTATAATAAATTTTCATATGTAAATTGATTCTGGGCATGTCCTTGGCCCTTTAAGGTGGGCATGTTGCAGATTGTTGATATAATTTCATAATTTTTTTAACATATCAATCAAAAAAAATTAATTTTTTTATAGATGTTATGATTTTTTATCATTTTTCATTGATTTTAAAATAATTAATTAGTCACTTGAGTGATATTTATAAAATGTTTTTAAGAAATTTACTGAAGCTGATTTAAAGAATGACTATATAGTGGCAGTTTTATTCTTCATATTCTATATATCATTTTCATTTGAAATTTGTAATTTGAAATTTAGAAGAATTGTAAGACTTTTATTAATGGAGAGGCGAGTAAGATACAAGCAATATATTACCATTCGGTGCAGCTCGACAACACAGGGAATATCCGAGGATATCAGAAATATTTTTAATTTAATTTTTAAATTAAAAGAATCCCGTGGGAATAAACCAATGCAATATTCCAGTGGGAACGAGGAAACCAGTACAAGTGTAGTTAGCTTAAGTTTAAAAATGAGGTGTTATCGAAAGAGATGACTGAAAGATTAAATTTAATTTCGAAAGAAATTTTAAAAAACAAATACCTGTGTCTATCTATATAATTGTGGTACCCTTAGTGGTTAAAAAAATCGTGAAAAATCGTGAAAAATGATGAAATATGAAATTTTATTTTACGAGAAATAAAAAAAATTAAAAAGATTTAAAAAAAAAATAAAGGTAATAATGTTAGTGATTACTGTATAATTTGTGGCCGAAAAGATTATACTGGAAAAATTTGTTTTCTAGGGAACGAAAAATCATTGAAAATTTTACTAAACAAACAAATACGATTTGCCATCTATGCGGCTTCTTAGGTCATATAAAAAGAAATAAATTAATTTATAGTATAGCAACTGTGGGGTGAAATCGCGAAAAAGAAATTTTTTTAAAAAAGGTTGATTATAATCGTATTACGGTCCAGTAAGAACACCGTTTATATGAATAGTATGGTTTTTGTTGAATGGAAGGTAATTCATAAAATTATTAATTCCAATAATTAACAGTTTGACTTTTGTGAGAATGAAAAAAAGGATAATAAAAATAGTTCGATGTTTCCTTCCTCAACCTTTTTTTTATGCGCGCACCAACTGCAATTAAAGATCAATGGAAAGTTATAATATTATTTAGGGAATTAATAAATAAATAGATTACAGTGATATTGGTAAAAAAAATTGTTTAAAAGAATTATATTATTTTAAAGAAAAATTGTTTTTAAATTCCGGATTACGAAATCAAAACTTATTGATTTGAAGAACATAACGTACAAATAACACTCATTCCCAAATATTGATATGGACAGCCACTATTTACTAGTGTTGTTAAAAAGCCGAGTTTTATCGGCTCCGACCTCGAGGTCGTAGCCAAAAAATTTGCTCAGGCTCAAGCCGGCTCATTGAGCCGGCTGAGTTGGCTTGCTCGAGTCGGCTCAGGAGTTGGCTTGCTCGAGTCGGCTCAGGAGTTGGCTCAAGCCGGCTCAGGAGTTGGCTCGAGTCTTATTTTAAGCCAAAATTTATTTATTTAAATATGTTAAAACAATATAATATATATTTATTTTTTTTTAAACATAATAATTTATATATTATGAAAATAGTTTATTGATTTGATGTTTTTTTTAATAAAAAAAATAATATGCTGCTATTGTTGTATTGTATTGTATTATTATGTTTTTTTGTTACAATTTATTAGTGATTTTCACGCGCCCAAATTTTTAAGCAAAAAAATTTTTTGAAGTTCAAAAATAATAAGAAATTTAAATTTTCATTTGATAAATTTTTTGGAGAATTTTCTTATAAATAAACAATCTTTGAGGTGAAATCTTTTATGTTTTTTTTAATCATCTTTGTAAAATTATCTATTTTTTTGTATATTTAAAGAGGTGGTTTTTTCTAAATCACATTACCAGAAACGCATGTTAATATATATTTTTTTTGTAATATAATTAAAAATATTTATATTATATTATATTATAAATTGTTAGATAGACTAAAATAAAAAAATAAATTATTTATTATATAAATTAGTTCATGAATATGTATCCACCTGATGGCGTCATTATAAACTAAATATTTTTTTTCACTAAATATAATTATTTGATTTTTCCAACCCAAGGAATGTAAAAAAATAACGAAAAATATAAAAGATATATTTGGAATATTCCAATTATTCGAATAATATTCGTGAAAAATTTTTAAATTATTTTGTCGACACTTATACATATTTTTTTTCCAAAGATTTCCTTAACCATAGATCTGTCATCAGTGATAAAATTTTTATTATAAGACTCGGTAATTATGCTATAACTTTGTTTCAACATAGGTAACCACTCGTTGCCAACGAATTTTAGCGTAAAGAGCAATCAGTTATGGTAGGGGGAATAATTAATTTGATTACTTTAAAACGTGTCGCCAACGAGTGGTAAATCTATACGAAGCAAAATTTGATAGAGCAACGAGTCGTGCTCTTTATATCCCGTGAAACTGAGTTTGAAGTAACAAAAATTTTAGTTTAATTTTATTAATACTGGTTAATGTCCGATTTTGACTGATAAAAAGAGAAGAATCCATTTTGTTTTTATAATCTAACCAAATAAAATAAATTGTACCTTTATAGTGGTGTGAATCGGTCCTGATCGACCTTTAAAAAATATTATCCTTTTTTAGATAGAATTACTTTTATTTGTGGCAGTCTTATAACAATTTTATTTTCTCGCCCATTTTAGTAGAATATTTTTTGGTAGCAAATGTTAGGAGTTTTCAAACAATGAATCCCTAACCTCTCCTTCTAGTTCAAAAGGCTAGCGACACCATTGGTACAACTGACCAAATTTTAATTGGATAAATATAGAATAATGACCCTGTCATTAAAAAACCTTTAGGAGCCGGTTTAAACCAGTTTGAGTGAATGTATAACGGTTTGGTTGTCTCCTTTTAAAATTTGGTCAAATACAAAATCCTTTTAGGTGATTACGCGAAATAAATTTAGAATCACTGTACCTATATATTTAGCTATACTCATTAAATAAAAACTCGGTTAAATATAAAAAATTTTTTAATCTTAAAGTAAATTTAGTAGAGCTGGGTCCATGGCATGTCATTCAAAAACTTTATCAGCCTTTACGAGGTAGAAAGTATTTCTAACTGGTTGGTTCTCTCCTTTTTAAAGTTTAAAATATTTTTAGCTAGCTTTTTTACTCCTCAAAATGTGACGGCTAATTATGGTTTAAAGACAATGACCTCAAGAAGGGTAAAAAATCAAAAATTAAGCTTAAGAGATAGGAAGAAGTGAAGAAAAAAAAGGAGTTATAACCCCCTTCCCCCAAATATGGAGTTAAAACCTTCCTTCCCCTTATCAAAATTCGCAAAAAAAAATATAACATTTTTACAGCATACCTGCTATTAAGGTTAAAAAAAAATAATTAAAATTAAAAACATAAACTCGTTAAGCATTTGCTGCCAACAAGTATTATCTTTTTTTATAAAATAAAATGTCAAATGATTATTCTATAAATCAAATAATTTTTCCTTAAGTTATGGCCATTTAATTTGTCTACTCGTTAATTTTATGAATACAAGTAATAACTCCTGGTTTGGGTCTAGTTTTGAATATCCTTTCCGGTTCCTAAAAATTTTTGGTTTCTTAATAAGAGAGAAAAAAAATTTTAAACAATAAATCCCCTAAAATAAATCAAGCTTTCTTTTTGAACAATTATATTCATTTTTTTTTAGAACTTATTCCATTTCCAAAATAATAATTAGTAGGTCTTGGTTTTTATAGAGATTTAAGAGAAGAGTAAGGGGCGGGGAGGGGGTTGATTCCAAGATCCATACCGGTTCTTCGAAATTATGGTTTATAAATAAAAAAAATATATCGTGTTTGAAATAAGACAACCTTCACGTGAGATTGAAATCTTGGTATTTATTTTATATTTAATTTATAAAAATTAGAGATGTATTTAAAAAAGACAAATAAAAATAATAATGATCATAATAAGTAGATTCTAGAATAAAGGTAATTTCGTAAAATATCTTAATTATCGTAATGATCAACATTTATCTATTTGTGATATTTTATTACTTAAACTCGGTCTTCGTTAGCGGTGTCGAGGAGTCCGCGAATCGCCAAGAAGTAACTAACTTAAATTCTTATGCCAATTCTACAAAATTACCATTTTAACAAAAAGGCTGACTCAAAATTCGCGGAAATGAAAAAGAAGAATCCAAACTTGGAGAAGTTAAGTTTCAAACCTCCCAATTTGACGGATGAAGATCACCATAGTCAACACATGCCATTTGCTCTCAAGTGTGATGGTTGCATGGCCATAGCTTACGAGGTAATTTACCTTTATAGATAATGATGGACAAAACGATTATTTGATTTTTTTTTATATTAAGTAAAAAGTTAATTAAATAATCCTCGAATAACTTATCCAACCAACAGATGGTTAAAGTATTCGAAGAATTCAACAATAAACACCCTAGCATGAAGAAGAATCTACCGACATCAGACATAATAATATTGGTCGAAAAAGTTTGCAACTACGAATATGAGGAGTAAAGGCTAAAATAAATTGTTTTACCATTCAACCACAGTATAAATTTGATTAAAAATATTTCAAGACTTAAATATTATCAGTTATACTTATAGGAAAATCCTTTAGAATGGGAAGTTATTTTGAGTTTTTAAGTGAGATTGATATTTCTTTATTAATATTAATTTTCAATTATGATGATCAAAAAATTATTTAAATATATTAAATTAATTAATAAATATTGATCTCAAAGATTTTATAATCGACCAGCTATCATATCGCGTTGGGTCCATATAAATGCGCTGTAGAGACTTGATAATAAGAGTATTGCTATAGTAGCACAATTTCTAAATATTTTTTTTTATCATTTTTTTTAAGGTATGGTGTTAAGGAGGTCGATGGTGTCAAGCGTTTATCAGGTCCGGCAATCCCGAGTACCTCAAAAACAGCTGGTATGATCCAAGGCGGGGGAAAATGGCCACCGAGGTTAATTTCTTGAAATTACAAGATGTCCGTTATATTTATTGTTGAAGTTTTGTGTAAATATTTATTCTATTATTATGCCTCATGAGTATATAATATAATTTATTTTGATATATAAATTTAATACCGTTAATTTTAATTTGATTTCGATTATTTAATAAATATAAGGCAAATTGACTTTTGGAAAATGAAATAAATATAGATGTAAAAGGAAAATAATCATAGAATTCATAAATTCAAGTTTTTAAAGATGAAAGAGTTATCTCGACCTCTAACTAACATAATTAGTATAATTTATAACTTATAGTAAATTAAGAAACATAAGGGAGGGGAATTAAGAGCACCTGCTTTCTTTCTTAGTGATGAAATCTCTTTTTTTATAAATTCATAGCTTTAACGATAAATATGTGCTAAAAATATTTTTGTTAAAGTTATTAAGGATAATTGTCATTTTTTTGGTCACGGATACTTGAATCGGTTAAAATTAAAAGTACGACGAAGTCCTTAAATAATAAGACATAAGTCAGGGCCACTGAAATAAATGGGTTATTTTAAGAATAATTCATATTATATTTTGATGAATAAAACAACCAGAATTCAACAAATGTGCAAGATTCTAATGGGCGAATTAGGGGAAGAAGAAATTTACGAGATTTATAAAAACGGAGATGATCTTTCGAATTGGCTATGCAAAGGTAAATAATCTACACTAGAAAAAAAGATTTAAAATAAAAAAATAATTTTAAATCGCAAGGTAAGGATATCAGAAACGCGTGCCTTTACGACAACGACAAGTTAGAGAAGGCGAAAAAGGTATTAAACACATAAATACACATTTTTTACTTCATTCAAAACTGCTAAATTAATTTATCATCGCTTGATCTTAAGGTTCTTCTGAATCCACTTGAACAATTTACAGGAGTGGAAATTCTAATAGAGCATACTTAAAATAGGGGAATGAGAGTAAATGGACCCCATACAAAGATGAATTTTGACCCGAACTCAAATTTGACAAATTGTGGTGTTTATAATCATAAAATGATCAAGTTATAATAGTTGGCATAACCCCTCATTCACAGTTAGCGCGATTTCGCGACGAATTATACAAAAATACAGTTATATATACTTGTGAATTTGCGGTTGGGGTGAATGAGAGGTAAAAGCGATGATAAAATGTACAATATACATCATTGTATAAAAAAATTAAATTAACTAAAATTATATTATTGGTAGAAAGCCGCCAAAAGTAAGAAAAAGGTGAAAGGACATTCCAAGAAAACCGGAGAAAAAGTTGAACGCATAAAATGGGAAAGAAATGATGAACTGTAGGCAATGTGTTTGCATGCTTTAACTTTATGGATAATTTATATAATACTTTTCATTTTTTTTAAATCAAGTTTTAAATAAATCCAATTTACACAAGTGACAAATAATTAATTTTAGACAATTTTTTAAATTAGATATTTCGCATTTTTTATATATTCATTTTATAATTAAATAACATGTACGCGAAAATAAATAAGACGATTTAAGTGGTTAACGATTATGATTTTCCTAGATCATCTATTGATTCGGCGTTATTATGCATTTTCAGGTCTTGTAAGGTGGCCATAACTGTGTTACTTGAGAATGCAGGCTTTCGGGTAACCATTCCAAGTATTGATTTAATAAAAAGTTGGAATTCCCGCTAGTCCAAACGCTTACCAAAGCCGATTTATCGTGGATGTCGGCTTCGATCAAAGCTTTCAGTATAGTCTGTGTTTTGGTTTGCAATTTGGCCCAGGTCTTCAGCATCGTGGAAGGGGTTAACAAGAGATGATCCACGTATATTTTCAGGCAAGAAAAGAGCTGACCTTCTAAGAAAAATCTAGAAGGGTTTTAAAATTATTTTTAAGCTTTAATTAATATCGAACATGCGAGCAAGTTGAAAACCAAGCCTGGATCGAGTGATAAAATAATATGATTTTATAACGACCAGGTTTTACATAAAAATGCAACCAGGATCTGATAAGTTATAGCCTTTAAAATTCGTCAGATCTCTGATTAATATATAAATTTTCGCAAGAATAAATGTATGTATAGAAGGGGTAAAAAAAATTCTTTTTAACTTGGCAAAATGCCTGAACTTTTCCGTCGTATAAGGAAACTCAGTGACACCAAAACCAATATCCCATTTATGGGGGCCAAAAAGGCAGGATGCCCTACACTTAACTTTACCTGTCGAGGGATCGTAATACACGTGATTGGTATGGCCAACTTCGTGGGACTTTTCCGAGTTATCGTTGGTGATATCGTCTAAAGTGCAATTCGCGCGATGAATATCGAAATGGCACAGTTGTGGCATGTAAACGGGTAACCATTGGGGTTGAACAGCGGTGATAGTTTTGAGGTGTATATTGCGATTCAGATTCAAAGTGGAATGGCTAGGCGATGTCTCTACCGCGGAATCCCCGAGGGTTGAAAAAGGTTTGGATAGGTAGGATTCTTGATAAACAATGTAATCCGGGCAAGATCGAAACATGACGGAAGATGGTTGAATGAAGGCGGGAATGGGGGGAGAGTTAGAGGTGGCTGAACCTTCTGTGAGGCACTGATAATAACCTAAGATATTAATTTTAATATAATCGATTTTTTTAATTTAAAAATGTTACATCTAAGAAGTTTTTTGACAAATAATATCATCCTTATTTAGACAATATAAATTTGTATAATTTAATGGCACTTTGTTTTTATATTCATGACGTTTCTAAATTGAGCTTGTTTTTTTTTTAAAAATGATATTGTCCAAATTTTTTTAGATAATTTTATTATTCCATTCTAGATAATAGTAAGTATTTTAAAAAAAACATCAAAACATATATGCGCAATTTGGAAATACTGCAATATAAATTAGACTTTTGAATGTTTGAAATTTAAATAAATATTTATTGATTTTTTTTAAAAAAAATATTAGTATTAATAAAATGACAAACATAAGAAGTCCCCCATAAAGTTATTTAAGAATCGTTAAATTATACATTTACAAAAAAATTGATAAGGGAAGAATAGTCTAGGCAATTAAAATTGATTGTTTGTTAATTTCATTCATTCTTCCTTCCATTACCTTCCTTTCTAAGTCTTTTAATTAGCACAAACTCTTCACTGTAACAACCTTGTTTCAACTTATATTTCATAAAAAATAAATGGAACCTCAATAACGATTTTAAAACACATTCTTGTTGAGGTAAATAAAAACGAGTAATTTAGCAAAATAACAAGATTAAATTACCTAAAAAGTATAAGTTACGTCACAATGTAAAAAAAACACAAATGCATTAAAAACGGGAAGAGAAGGGAAAAAATTTTATTAGAAATTACTCTTGAATGCCTTTCTGCCGACTCTTTTCCCGAATAATCTTTCATGGTCTTCGGGGGACAGGTCTATCCTTTTGGCAATGTTAAAGCCCGCACAAGCTAGAATCAATTTGCGCAATGCTTTCATCTGTTTTTGGGAAGGTGGTTGGGTCATGAGAAAGTCTTTATCGATTATAATCTTTTCCTTGTTTGGGTCCGGATTTTTAACTTTTTAGAGAATTAAATTGGATTAGATTTATCGGGGAAAGGGTGGGTAGCTTGGATTAACTTTTCATATAGTTCATGCCAAAAAAAACAAAATTTTACATTTTGAATGTAATAAATTTTATTTCTTTCTTACAAAACTACAAAAATAAAATAAAATGGCCACTCTTTTTTAAAATATTTATTATGTTCGCATTCAGTCTTTCTTGCTCTGACCTTTATTTTCATCGTTGTCATAATTATCTTCCAAATCATCGACGCATTCCCTTTCTTCCGTCAAAACATCACCGTTAGTCTCCAAGTCCCTTTTCAATGCGACGACGCGATAAATCTGGCGCCTTAATTTGTAGATCTCGTCCAGGGCTTTGCGTCTCACCAGATATTTCTGGCAAAAATCGTCTAAACCTTTTCCTGTTATATTGTAGCGTGAAAAAAAAATAATATGAGTAATGTATGTAACGATATGAAGGTAGTGCCATCATTATGTAAAATAAAATGACGGGAGGGTATTCAATTCAAAACTTCGAACAAATGTGACAGTTGATAAATTATTCGAAGTTTTATACATTATGTTTTGATGATACATCTTGTCCTCTTTTTGTATTTCAATCAAAGACTTAGTGCAAAAGGTAGAATTTTAAGGTCTAGAGGGCTTAAACACCCTCCCCCCATATTTTTTAAACCTGGGTTAAAAAAACAATTCTTTTTAGCCAAACCCAGACCGGATTTAGGTAAAAACCCTCTAACAAGTAGTATCCAAGCATATTTAATTAATGGTCAATGAATCAATACTATGCATTATTTGTCAAAAAATTGAACAAAATATTGTCAAAATAATCAGCGCTAATTTCAATCGCAAAATTAGTGTATATGTGTCGAACAGTGATTGGCAGAGCTGGTATTCATAATTAAACACCAAACCAAAATCAGAAACTATTAAATAATGTTTTCGCCTTCCATAACTCGAATCTTGAGTGGTGTAGATTTTAAAATAGAGTTTTTGCCATTAATCTTAATATTCCAATCAACACTTTCGCGAAGCAGCTTCTATAGGAAAATGTTTTCCTCTTTTGGTCTAGGTTAATCCAAATTTAGAAACAGGCTTGGACTAGAATAGACTAAAAAAAATTAGTTTTTTTTAATAAATATTTTTATATTTCATTTTGTTATATTGTTGAAATTTACATGCAATATTAGCTATATTGAGCATTGTTTGTTAGTGTTACAAATATATCATCAAATAAATTAAGATATTTTAGGAAAGGCTGACTTAATATAATTTCTTGCTAAAAGTCAAGATATTTGTAGTAGAATGTCAAGTGATTGGTGAGTCATAAAATTGATAATTAATATGTTTGATTGAAATTTAAAATATTTCATTTAAATCACTTGCTTATTGATTTTATATGCATATCATTGTTATATTATTACCTTGATATAAATTTAACTCATGTATTCGTGTAAAATATATAATTATATAAATTATTTTGTTTGATATTTATCATATTTATAAATAGTCGCTTGATTTTATATTTTACATGAAAATCACGTGATTCCTTTATCAGAAGAAAAAAACTATTAAAAAGGATAAAATTTTATAAATATTAACTCTTATTTTCCTAAAATACTTTTATTATATTATTTTTGCAAAGATATATTTTGCTGATGTCAATATGTATATTTGAAATATTTATATAAATTTTAATATATCACCAGAAATATTCGTCATCTAGGCTAAAAGTTTAATTAAGTTTGTATACCTCTCACAATTTTTTTTAATGCAATTAAATAATTACTATCCATTAAACAAAATCTTATTTAATACTCCGCTAAATTATTATTTATCAAAGCGCTATTTTTCCTGTATCATTTGTTACTAACCACTATAAATATTATTTAACAACGATATTTCCCGTATAATTTGGCTTAATTTACCGCTTTAAACATTATTTACTAATGGCAACATTATCTTTCCCCCTATTCCCCCTAAGTTTCGGTTACGCCACCATTGTAACCTATCACCACAAAGCTATATCACAATTACACCTATCATATTCTAAAATTGAGATCGCGGTTCAATGATTAAAATGATAAAAAATTTTAAAAAAGCGGAATTACGGCGGGACAAACGCAATTACATTTTATATATGTGTTGGTGAATTATTTTATCAAATCATAAAATATCAATCTTTATTTCAATTTTTTTTTTCGTATTTATAAAAAATCAAAATATAAAAAAATTATATAGGAAATCTTCTTAATATCTTTCGGAAAAATCTATTTATTTAAAATATTCTCATCTTTAGAAAATAAATTTTGCCAATTCTTCATAATTCATTGTGAAATTTTTGCTTTATCATTAATTCAGCTTCTAATAAATAAAATAAGAGCGAATTCTCGTCTGAAGATCGTGAAATCGTAATAAATAAATAAATACTTTTAATTTTTTAGCAAAAATACAAATACTAAATACAAAAAAGTATATGTGTTTAGTACTTTAAATACAAGTATTCGCATTACTGTCCAAACCTGCTGATTGGCAATCAACCGAAATATTACCTAATTTGATGTCTTAGGTACCAAATTAAGTAAGTACTAAACCTAACCTTGATTTAAAAAATTAATATTTTTTTTTAAAATAAAATGTATTTAACTTCGGTATACCTCGTGGTGTGCCATTCATTAAAGTCTCGCTCCTGATATAATCGGATGCCCCTACGGCTCTGAGATTCACTATCATATCGCCCAATAAAAATTGATCTTGACTGATAACTCGCTTGTCGTCACTATTTTTATCTCCCGATAAATCCTTATTATCGGTTATCCCGGCCCAAGAATTTTTTATGGCGTTTAAAATTGAGTTATTTCGATCATCACCCGCGATAAAAAGTTCCCTGATAGTAGTAGAAGCGGCGATCGTTAACGCGAAAGGCATCAAAGTGGCGGGAAAGGTTTTGTCTGTTAAAATCAGGGCTAGTAGTTTACCCTGCCTCGGATTAAGGGGAACGTTAGCTACTAACCGGCCTAAATCAGTGAGACAAAGTATCAATGGATCCGCTATTTTTTTGTAAACAAAAAATTGAAAGAATGAAATTAAAAACTTTCGTCAAAAAACTTACAAATTCTTCACTAATAAAATCCAAAAATTAATTCAATGAATAAAATTAGATATGTCTAGGATTAATGCTAAAAAATTTAAACTTATTTTTGAAAAAAAAAATCCGATTTTAAAGTAAGTATTATCATAAAAAAAATCTTCTGATAAAATTTCAAAATATAAAATAATTTCTTTAAACTTTGTTTGCCGATCCCGGGCAGGTAATTGTATAGGCACCCTGTCACGTTGACCCGATCACAGAAATCTACTTTAGCCACTTCTCGTTCATCCACTTCGCCCGCAAAAGGCTCCAAAAGTCCTAAGGCGCACAGCAACGCTTCCGCCCTCCTCAAGGCTAAAAGCGGGGGTGGAGTAGGGAAAGGAAAATTTTCTATCCTGTCTATATTCAACAGCTTCATTTGCAAGACAACATCTTCGATCGGTTTTTCCATGATTTCGGGGCACGAAAAGGTTGAGAATTGGTCGTTAAACACGGCAGAAGAATATAACCTTTTTTGAAAAAAAATAAGGATCAAAATAGTGTCGAACAAATATGAATACAGAATTTGAACAGCTGGACTAAAAAAAGGCTTTGATTCTAAATATATTTATTCAAAAGTTGTTCTTTAGGTTTGTCATGGTTCCAATGGTTTTGTTGGGTTAAATATAAAATATTAATCACGTGGGAACCTGTAACAATGTCCTCCAGGTCCGGTCCTTCCGCATCGCCCGGCCCTCTGGTCAGCCGAAGCCTTCGATATCCACTCCACGCTACTCCTTCCTACGTTGATTCTCTCTTCTTTTCGTCCATTATCCACTCCTCTATCTTCTATATTCGATCCGCCATTATGGGAAAATTTTTTGACTCGCCCACAGTCGATTACGTATCTCACGCCTGGGACGGTTATAGATGTTTCGGCAACGTTAGTCGCCACTACACAAAGGCGTGGTGTTTCGCTAACATTTTTATTTAAATTTTTGTGAACTTTGTTGGTTTTAGTGGAAGAGTCCTTATCCATTTGTGGTTTATTATTGCAATCATTGGTTGAATCCTTTTTAGTAACGCGACGATTATGAAAATTGAATACTAGGTTTTGTTGGTTGGTAGGAAGGAGAGAGTAAAGGGGCAGAGGTACTAGAGAATTGGTAGGAAATGTGGCATCCAGAGCTTTGCACAGGTTCATAATTTCGGCGCGCCCCGTTAAAAATACTAAGATATCTCCTGGGGGTAAACGATTGTGAATTTTACAGACCTTTTTTAAAAATATAAATCCGATATATTTAAAAATTTTTTGACCAAAATTTGAGCAAACAATTATGAAAGATATTTTTTATGCATAAAAATTATAAATCTTTTATTTCTATCTTCATTTTAAAAAATCTTTGAGGAGTAATACAATCTAAGACAAGACCTGTGCACCGCCGTTCCAATACGCCACCGCCGGTGATTTTTAACCATGCCTACGCCAAAAAGGTATTGGCACTCAACACGACGCCGCCGATGGAAAAATTCGGCGGCGTGATATATATTTTTTATTATTAAAAAAATGCGATTTTATTTTTTGCTATAACAGATACCAATTCGGAATTGTATGTTAAGATTATGAATTATTATACCTGGGAGTAGTTCAGCAATCTAGAAGAGATAATTTATTGTATCACATTAAATTTATTTACATTGATTTGATTTTGCAAGTTATATCGTACTTCATATTCATGATAAAATTGTAATCAGCTCAATTTTCCTAGTCCTCCAAACCTTTTTCTACGGGTAAAATAGGCAGCACTCTTACCTTTCTTATAATTCATAACCTTTATAGCTTATGAAATTATGTCCTTTTTAGTTCTCTAATTAAAATTTTATTTACAAATAAAAGTTTTTATACTTGAATATCTAATTGTCTACAACTAAAAATTGTTTTTAAAATTTTGTGCGACTGTTGGGATTTTCATGGTAAAACTAATTATTTACTTTTTTATCGAAAATATTTTCCATATTATGGAATATTTTTTAGGAATATTCCTTGATTTTCGTTGTTTCGGTCTTCGCTATATCGTGTACAGGCCATAAAATTGGGTTCTTTTTCTGAAGAAAAAGTGAGTCTTTCTCAAATATTTCCTCGCTTTGATAATATTAATCAGAAAATTTAAAAACAATTTTTAGGCGTAGACAATTAGATATTCTAATTAGTGATCTGCATCGGGCCTAATTTTTCAAACCCGGCCCGTAATTTTTTTAAAAAAGTTTTGCCAGCCCAGCCCGAATCCGAAAGTTTTTTAAAAAGGTTTTGCCGGCCCGGCCCGAACCCGAAATTTTTTCAAAAAAGATTTACCCACCCGGCCCAGGCCCGATTATATTTAAATATAAAAATTAATTTTTATAATTACTCAAAATAAAAGACATATGTTATATGTCGTTTAATTTGGATAAATAAAATCAAATATTTTAATTTACATAAAAAATTCAATATAAAATTAATAAATTTAGATATATTTAAAAAAATTTCCAAGGTGCGACCCGACCCGGCCCGAATTTTTTTAAAAATATTAGGCCCGGTCCGAACCCGATTATTTTAAATAAAATTAGGCCCGAACCCGGCCCGAATAAAATTTTAATTAGAAAACTCAAAAAGGAAATAATTTCATAAGTTATAAAGGTAATGTGAATATATCCACCATAAGAAAGGTAAGAATGCATGCTACCTATTTTACTTGTCGAAAAGGGTGTGGAGGACGAGGAAAATTGATGGCTGATTACAATTTTATCATAAGTATGAATGAACATGATATAACTTGAAATCAAATCAAGGTACATAAATTTAATGTGACACAATAAATTATTTCTCTTCTAGATTGCCCAACTTTTACCAAGTATAATAATTCAAATATCATAACTTCCAATTCCAAATAGATATCCCTCAAATTATTGAATAAATAATTTCTTTTACTATATTTGCTTTATTAAATAATTTAAGGCTCAAATACTCAGCTAAATAGCAATAATATTTATATTTTGTTACATTTGTTTATAAAATTTTTAATTATTGTAGCAAATTCAGAGAAAGGTTGTCTTCTCATTATAGTATTTTATTAATTGATTTTAAATTTTCTTCTACTGAATTTTCATGGTAAATGTTCAATAATTTTATAGCATTTTATCTACGCATCATGTCACTAAAAACATACTTCCGAAATTATTCTTTCCGACAGGGATCCGAACCGGATATCGGTTCGGGTTTCAGATAATAATAACGGTCAGATTCGGTTCGTAGAAAATAAAAATATCGGTGTTCGAACTTCTAAAAACTGATTTGAACACTTTTGTTTACAAGCCTACATTCGAATTATATGTTTTATATGGGATATTTTGAATTTACTGAGTTCTAGATAGTGGTTTCTTTTCTAGTGACGCTCAAGATTTACTCCGTTGTGCCCCTTCATAGTTATGTCACAATCAGTAATATTACATTTTGATGTGTCAAGGTTCAAATCTTTAATTAAAATCCCTATTGTTATAATAGATATGAGCATCCTTGTAAATAATTTATATTGGATTCAGTTTATCTCTAGAAATTATCTCAAAAATATTTTAAAATGGTAATATACTAATATTTATAAATAATGTGACTGAAACTTATCAATCAAAATTGATTGATAATAATCTTTAAAAAATTCGAATATAAATTAGAATCTTAGCAATATACTAGTAATAAACAAAACAATGAAGTTCGAACCGGTTCACATGCATTTGAGAGGTTCGGTTTGGATCACTGCTTTCCGAGATTAAAGTTGAAAGTGAATATAATTTAGAGTCTAAGAAAATTCAAATGGTAATGGATGCACGACCCAATGTAAAGAAAAGTGTTCATTTAGTAGAATATGACCATCATTTATGCATGGGGCATGGAATACTTAAAAATAAAATAAAATATAGAGAGAAATTATAGTTGCCTTAAGATCCAAAACAGTGAATTTTGAAGATATAATCAATATCGAAAATGCTTTTTATCGATATCATATCGGATATTTTAGATTTAGATGATAATGATCCCTTTTACGAAGATGTTTTGGGTTTGATGATTATAGTGCAAATCAGAAATCATGACAAAAAACATAAAACCTTAAAATTAAATGTGCCTACACGTTGACAAAGTGTTTTAATAATGCTAGAAAGTGTGAGTTGCAATAACAAAAATCTATAAATATCCTATTAAATAGAATGGAAAACCCGGATCTCAAATTTAACTGCGATTGGGACTTGGTGCATGAACTTTTAAATAAGAACCTTCAAAAAACTGTTGAATCCTCTTTATTTTGTAATGAAATTAAAAATCATTTAATCGTAAATGAATAATAGTTTTCCGATAGCATCTTTTATGCTCAATAAGATCATAGATTTCTAATAACCGATCTTCGGGTAGCATTTTAAAATATATTTTTTATTTCATTTCTTCTGGTTTTATTTTTTTTGCTTAGGTTTTAGGAGCACTTTTGGATCCTCGCTTTCAATCTATAAACAATCATAGAGATTATCTAAAAGAAAAAAATATTACTCCCGTGCAATTTTTATGTCAATACGCTCTCTTTTGCCTTACATGTACGAACTAAACGAATGTTAAACCGCAGAAGATGCTTCAGAATAAAATTATCTTAAGATATTAGCCACTTCATCACAAGAATCTGGAATAACCAGACTATTTAACTAGTCTAGAAAGGAGTGTTATTCATTATTTTCGCTTATAATTAGAGATAAAAGATGTCTTTGATTTTTGGAAGATAAGAGCGTTGGATCTTCCTAAATTCTCAATATTAGCTAAAAAAGCTATTAGTGTTTAGGCTAAGAGCATCCTAGCGAGCGCGTATTTCCCATATCTGGGCTCACTTTGAACTCTAAAAGATCATCATTATGTCTTATAAACTAAATAAAATAATATTTATACATGATAATTATAACTTAATAAAACCGTTAAATTATAGTTATAATTTAATTAGAAATTTGCATAATAAAGATATAAATATTATTTTAAAGTGTTTCCAATAATTTTAATTTAAAAAATTTAGGTTAGAAAAATATTTGACGATTCCATCGATTTTAAGGGCGGCGTCTAAATCGATTCGCCGCGGCCAGCTGGTCTAAAAAAACGTCGCCGCCGATAAGGCTGTCGACGCACAAAAACTATGATAATATACCACAATAAATTCGGAATAAAAAAGCCATCATTAAGTTTTGATTTAATTTTTTATTTAAATAACATTTGAAGTGATTCTATAAAACTTACCGTTCCCTGAGGGAGGGACGACTATACATTTAAAAATAGAATGGATGGATCAATTTTAGCTAATTTTTATTAAAAATATTCGAATTAGTGTTGCCAATCCAATAAATGGACATTACACCAGAAATTGAATAATATTATATAAGCGTTAGTACTTTTCGGTAAGCTTCTTGGACGTAATCGTTCATAGGTGTCGATATATTGTAATGTATCGTTACGGGATGCTTTTTAGATGGGATTTTGATTACTGGTACATAACCCTTAAATAATTTTCTATATAAAAAAATGACATACATTAAAATGATGCACTAACTATTTAATCGTGAGCGCCAAAAAAGGTGAATCAAATGATCCATTTAAATTCAAATCGAGAAAAAAGTTTAAAATATTTTTCTATCTCCCTCAATGACATTAAAATACACAGTTAGACTGACCATTCATTCATTATTTGAAAGTGTCGTTGAATACAAATCAGCTGGTGACACGCACTCTTGGCTTCCCATATCCTTTTTTTTAAATTATAAATGAAACTGATTCCCTTTTTTTTATCAAAGGTTGCATAAAATTACAGTCATTTTTTATACGGGGAACCCAAAATCGCGTATCACCAGCTGATTTGATTACATATAGGTGAATAAATCTTCAGTCTAGGCAATATTAATGTTGATGTTATTGGTTTATGTCCCGATTGCAGTATACCCTGGGTTCACCGTTAGCGCAAATTCGCTGCGAAGTATACAAATTAGAAATTATAATATAAATAAAAACTTTACATTCAGTTTTCTATACTTAGCCGCGAATTCGCGCTAAATGTGAATGCAGGATAATACAATAACGCTTTATAGAAAATAAATAAATCAAAAACAAATTAAGTGACATATTTTCTCCTGATCACGTTTAAAACAAAATAACAAGTCTCTTCATAGTTAGCCTAAGATTAGAACTAGCGATGCCAATTCCGCATTATTAAGATCATCTTAGCATACGTCCAAAAGTGTTTTTTTTTTACTTTTCAATAGTACTAAAAGTCGAATGGAGCTAACGAAAAGTGAAAAATTTTTTAAAGTAGTTTAAAAAAATTTGAATCATACTGATTTTCGGTGAAATCTTTTATTCTCAAAGTAGCGGACATGATGATAAGTTTGAGCGGCGCGTTTCTTTTATGTCTCAATGGAACTATTCGGGATAAAAGTCCGATTAGTATGTCTAATTTTGTAACCAATAAATAATTTTCAAATTAAATATATATACAATAGGTGCCTAACAATTGATTTATAGTGTTTTTGTGCATGTGATTTACACATATTCCTAATGCATATATTTTTTGTTACTGAGTCACCTCTCATTCGTAATTGGCGCGAATTATATAATATAAGCTGTATTTTTGTAATCTCAGTCACAAATTTGCGCTAACTGAAAATAAGGGGTTACCCTGCATTCAAAGTTAGTGCAAATTCGGAGCGAAGAATATAAAATATGCTTAATTTTTGTGTATTTTTATATACTTAGACGCGTTGAATGCAGGATCAAAGGAGCCCCTTATTTAAAACTAATTTTTTACGATAAATATATTTCCAATTCCATAAAGCATAACTTACAGGACCCTAACTAAATTTAGCCCCCCAAAAGTGTAGTTGAACCGGATATAATAATGAAAGCCAATATATTCTATCTGTTCCACAATAAATTACCTTACCAGTGCACACGCTTCTCTCGTGGGCTTCATCTATGACAATAGCCGAATAATCGGTTAACATGAAATCGTTTTGGATCTCCTTCATAAGAACTCCATCAGTCATGAACTTTATTTTCGTGGCGGGAGTGACATTACCTTCGAATCTTATTTGATAAGCTACGGCAGAAGAATTTGTTGTATCATTTCGGTTTTCGCCATTTTTAGTTGTCTTAAGTCTTTTAATCTGGCCTTTAGGTGGCTTCATCTCTATAGCAACCTTTAAGGAAGAAAAATTTTAAGGGTAAGATATTACTGGAAGATACAAATGGGGTTCAAAATTATAACTTATTTTAGTTACAATTAGTATTACTAAATTAGGAGCTCGATATATATTTAATTTACCCTTTGAGAGATTGTGACAGCAGCAACCCTCCTAGGTTCGGTTATCCCTATCCTTCGCTCTTCGCAAAACCCAGCTTCATACAAAAATTGAGGTATCTAAGAGGGTGAAATATATTAATTTTAAAAATAAATCTTACTAGAAAATATAAAAATTGTATAGGAGTTTTAAGTTGCATTATAGCGTGTCTTATTATATTTTTATAAATTCTAAATAACTATCTGTATAGTGATTTTTAGACCTTTTTTTAAAAAAGGAATAAGTTCACTTTAAGCATATTTACCAAAAGAGGTGATGCTTTTCTCAATAGAATTGACAAATAAGAACAAAAATTAAAACAAGCTATGGAACAATCTTATAATATGAATTTTTTTATGTGACAAGTTATAAAATAATAACATAAAAGTTCTTATGTATTTATATTTATTTTATGCTAAGATTTTAATTTAACTAAGATGAAAAATAAAAGATCGAAATAACATGATCTTAAAAAAAGGTCAAGAAGATAGAACAATTCCTACCAAATATTATTTATTAATTCATAAAAAATAAAATATCCTATGTAATTGGTAATTTAGCGACAAAATTTCAACCACAATTCGTAGTTATGTATGGCGCCATCTATTTTATACAATTAAAATTTACAATTATTGGTAAATGCGTCTTTCGGAAGAGCTGATATTGTCATCAAAATTTTTAAATCGTATAAATATTTATAAAAAGTTTTTAACTAAAAGGCAAATAAAAATTTCCCAAACAAAACCAAGTGCCTTTATAATGCTTAAAAACTCGAGTAAAGTGGGAACATTGTAAGCGCATTTAAGTAATTTTTTGAGCAATTTTTAGATCTCATTTTTACCAAATTGCCAATAACTACTCTATGAATTTCGCATATTTTTGCCATGAACAGTTGAACTTGATGTAATTTATATTCATCATTTTTCCATATATTTTTTTTTATATAAATTTAAAATGACTCAAAGTTATAAGGAAAAACTGTCTGCTCATAAGATATGTATTCTAAACATATTGGAATAAATTTCCGGTAAAATCATATTATAAAAGTGATAGAAGAAAAGTTTAAAAAATAACACAATGAAAAACCCGGGTATAAAGCTATATAAGTGAACCGGAAGTTAAAGACTCAAATCGGAGCCAAATTTTTTTTCATTCGATAGACCTTTAGAGATTTTTTTTGACTACAATATGATTATGTTTATTTTTAATATAAATAGTTTTTGAGATGTAAACATTTTAAAAATTTTTACAGATTCGAAAGTCACTATTTTTCGCACCTTCGAGAACCCTGTATCTCGGGAACCAGCTGTGCTAGCGAGCTAAAATAAACAGCTTACTCATTTTTTTGTTTATATTCAAAAATTGTATAAAATAATTATTTTGCATTTTATATTTATTATATAAAAAAAACTTGTAATTGGGAATATTATGAGTAAAGGAATATGCATGTTTAATTAATAAATAGGGATATCCTTGTATATTTAGCAGAGACCTGTAGACCAGGTCAATTTTTTTTTTTAAATATCCGAATATAATATTTTTAAGAAAAATTCCGGGCGGGCCTGTAAATATAAAATCCGTAGGCTTTTTGTAGGTATGAAAACTATCATATTTTGTTCAAATAACTATTAATCATTGCAAATAATGTTTATAATCATAAAGCTTCTCCAGGTAAAAACGCATATGAAAAGTTTGAACCATAGTCGTTATAAAATATTTCTTTTGTTCCTGCAGGATAATTTTTAAAAAATCAGCAGCAGCTTAGTTTTAATTCTTTATCATTACCTATGAGAAATTCATTCTATTTATAGTTTTCAAAATAATCTGTGCAAACATAAATTGTCATTCAACTCCGGGAGAAGGGGCGAAGAAAAACAGGTGCGAGAGTAGTCTCATTCCTACTAACGATTTCTGCTCTAGTTCAGACCATGTCTAAGCATGTATTGTAGGTGTTCCTTTTTATGTTTTTGCTTAGTGCCAAAAAATCTGTAAACGAAAGATTGATCAAGTCTATTTTTGGCAGCCAATTGTATTTGGGAGTTCTCTGCTTCCCATAATCTGAAGTCCATTTCATGCACAAAAATATCATATTTTCTTGAGAATGTCTAAAGCAAAGATTTATAAAAAATTATAAGTGTATTTTGTTTCTTTATTCTCAAAAAGTTAATTTTAAAATATTTGAAATATTAATTTTCATGTAGAACTCTCAACAACAACAAAAACCTAAAGTACTGAATGCTAATAGGTTAATAAATTTTGGAAGAAAAGCCACCTGGGATGCAGTAAAGCTAATCTTTATATTTTATTTAGACTATTTATGAATAGCCAGAGTCTAGACAACCAAGTGCTGTTTAAAACTGAGGTTTTAAAATTTCTACACTATCTGAAGACAAATGGTACCTTACCAACACTTACATTGACATATTTAATAGCTTTATATAAATTATTTATTTATTATAAAAATATATTATATATTTTAATATTAATTTTTATATTGACATTAGATTTTTTTAATAAAATTTTTATATATTATATTTGTTTCTATTTTCATATTTCAATTTAATTTTTCTTAACATTCAAATTATATTAGTGTTCAAATTAACATTTAATAGAAATTAAGAGATATATCAAATATAATTTTTCATAATATTCAATTAATTTAGTAATATCATTTAATTACTATGGTTGAAATTGTGAATCTATTTATAGAAGCAACAGATAAATCTTATTTAGGTATAGTTTTCACACTATAAAATAATTAAATTATATGTCTTAAATTCTATGAAAATTTCAATTGTATGGTAAAAGAATAGAATTAATATTATTTTAAGTTTGAGGTTCATTCCCCAAGCTTTAAAATAGCTCAATGGGCTACATCTTGAATAGTGTCCAAATTAACATGCAATAGAAATTAAGGGATATATCAAATAAATTTTACTTTCAATTAATTTAGTTATATCACTTAATTACTATGGTTGATATTGAAAAACTATTTATAGAAGCAACAGATAAATCTCATTTAGATATAGTTTTTACACTATAAAATAATTAAATTATTCTTAGATTCTATGAAAATTTTAATTGTATCAAAGAGAAAACAATTAATATTATTTTAAGTTTGAGGTTCATTCCCCCAAAGATCTTGTAAATAAAATACATGTTTTTCACATTATATTCTTAATTGAATTTTTGTATCCCTTTTAAAATTTTCAATAACTTAAACAAGCTCTAATAAAAGAACTAATTTAACTGTATATGTGTATAATGTTTAAAATTATGAATGATATATTAAAGAGCGTTTAATTAAAGTTGATTTAGAACTGCCCCTAACCATTTTAAAAAAATTAAACTAAAACTCTATTTTAGTCTAAGTTCTAACATCTAATCTTTTTCTATCAATTATATTTATGTTCATAAAGATGTTTTTATTAAAAAAAAAATAACTTGAGTAGTTTTGCCACAACCAGTCTCTCCACAAATTATTACAATAGGATGGTCATTTATTTTTTCCATTATTTGATATTCTTCTCCAAGTATAGGCAGATTTTCTCTTTCAGCTTGTATCTTAGGGTCTCTTACAACTTTGATAACTTTTTTGAATTTCATTACTGATAATTTGGTAGAAGACAGAGGTTTAGCTAATTTGTTAACTTTTTTTATAATAAGGGTGGATAAGGAAGGAGTTGATTTATTTGGTGATATGTCCATTAATGTATTATTATTTTTTGAATTATTGAATTTATCTGCATTTACATTAGAATTATTCTGATCAATGTTTTCCTTTAATTTTATATTTTAAAAACAAGATTATTTATTTGAGTAACAAAATATTATTAAGACTAGTTTTATATTAAAAAAAAATTATAAGCAATTCTAGTATAATTTACCACACTGAAATCTTTATCAATGATTATTCCAACACCATTAGATTCTATATGATCTATTTCATTAATTTTATTGCTGTCTGAATTAGTGTCATCATGGAAAATTTCAATCTTAAAAATTAAAATGTATATAAATTTTTAATTAATTTTACTTTTTGACAATCATTGTTATAAGGTATTTTTTCAATGAATGCTTTCCGTTTTCCAGATGTTTGAACATGGCTAGTTGACTGGATTAGTTTTCTCTCCTCCTTGGAGATTATAGATTCATTCAATAAGCCTAAGCTTTCTTTTCTTTTAATTCGTTTTATTTTTTGTTCTTTTAATTTATTCAATTTTTTTAGCTTTGTTTTACTTAGCTGTTTCTTAAAAATAAGATTATCCTTTTTGTTTTTAGGTTTACTTGATTTTTTGGTAGGAACAATTAAGAATTGATTAGATTCATCATATTTTCGATGTTTCCTTATAGGATCAAATGATTGATCTATAAGATCTTTATTACTGATATTCATTTTTTTAATGTCATCTTTAAATTTAGTCATTTAAGATAAATATACAAAAATATTAGTTATAAATCGAATTTATTTACATATATTAATGACAGAATAACTTTTCTCATATTATGATAATAGTAAATATATAAGAATATTAAATTTTTTATATCTTTTTATCTTATCAGCACGTTGGAGTAAAAGTTTGATGAGAAATATTTTTAAAGGTTTGGAAGTCCGCACATTTAAAACCGAACCTAATAATATTTAAAAAGTAATTGAAGGGGAAGTATCTATCACGAATACTTTCTTTAAAATAATAAATATCATTTCATATCTCTAACAGATATGATCCCATATTAAAGAATGCTTATTCGACCAAGGTATAAGAGTGCCGCCTGTTCTTTTATTGTCAGAGATATTTAGCCAACTGGTCAATGGCGTATCCAGGATTTTCTTATGGTGGGGAGGGGTAGATTTCTTGGGGGCTTCGCCCCCATACCTCCTTTACCTGGCCAGCCAGCTTTTCCTAGACCTTTGGCCGGGTTTTATGTTGTAGCTATTCTATTAAATTATTCATAATTTAATAATAATTATATTTCTATTTTTAACTATTTTTTGCTAATTCGTGCTTATGGATATTACAAGCCTATTTTTTATTATTTTAAGTTAGTTATATATTATATTTAATAAAGTTCTTTTAAATGTAAAGTTGAAATAAAGTTTAATGTCATTTTTATTATAAAATGCTTTAAAAACTAGCCTTAGCTTAAATTCTCATACAATATAAGTAGATAATAATATTTTTATTGAAAATACTAATAGTAGTGTGTATAAAATATTGACTAGAAAATAATTTAAAAAACAAGTTTTTTTTACTTCTTATCAAATACAATATTATACAAAAAAATTTATTAAATACTATAATTATAGTTTTCAACCTTCACAAGTTGGAAAAAGTCCTTTCATTCGTACATGTTGTAATAGGCAAACATGCAAGAATATAAAACAACTTCATAAAATTAGGAAATTGAGCCAAGTTTACACCGATTAGGCGCATCGATTGCTAAAGACTTGTTTTTATCTAAAAACCGTACTTTTATTTATGATAAAAAAGTATCTAAGAATGGGATGAAAATGGATATAATATTCTTCAGTTAAGCCAATATTTATTTTACATCTTGTTGAATATATTGATCGATGTTATTTTATTATTTATTTTGGCAATTGATTTATTTTTTTATACATCAATTTGTATTTAAATTTCGGTGAAAATTTTATATTAACATTTTTTTATACATCAATTTGTATTAGTTATTTTTTTTATTATTGTTTAAAAAAAGGATATATAAAGAGATAAAAAAAATGTAATTGAGCTTGTAAAATAAAATTGTAATTTATTATATAATAAAATTTAAATTATGATTAAAAATAAAATGATAATTAATGAAAATTGTGATGTAATTATCTAACTATAATAAACGCGGAACTAATGCAATTCTAACACATCTCAATAATTCCCTAGGTCTAGACGAGGTTTAAATAGTGTTATATCATAAAATTTAGCCTTCGATTCAACGTCTAGATAAATATTATGAAAATATTCATCTACATTTATTCTTATTGTATCTACCTATTCATATATATTTTCTGCTAAATCAATAACCTGAACCAAATCTAAATTTGGTTTTTGTAAATTTCTACAAAGTAGTGAACTATAGGAAAATAATTTATTGATGCAACTAGCAGCAATGATAAACTCTGAGTGATCAATTGAATTCAATAATGATATCGCTTCTGACCACACATAACTTTTTTTCATGCTCAGCCTTATTTAACTTTTGTGTTTCTATTTCTTCTGTTCTACAAAATAGAAGTAAAAATGAAAAATATTTAAAAAATTATAGATATTTATTAATAGTTAAAATATTATTAAAAATACTTATTAATTCTAACTCACTAATAATTTTGAATTTAATAAAATAATTATATATAACAATAAAATAAATTACCGTTTGATCTCAATCTCTTTGACTAAAAATTTTTCCATTTTGTCAATATTTTTGAATAATGTTAATGTACTCACAAGGAAAGGAAATTTTAATAAAATTTATTTATAAAAGATAAGTTTTATGTTGGAAAATTGATATTCAAATATTTGTAAAATTTTATAAGAGTGGAGGGGGGGGGGAGGGTAAAATTTTTATTAGCTTAAAATGATATTTATGAAAACAGTCAATTTTGCGATGGGGGGAGAATTTCCCCCTTTCCCCGAATTGGTTACGCGCCTGCAACTTGTTCTAAGGTGAAAGGGATGTTGTCTGATAGTAGCGACTAGTGGATTAGGTCTCGTACAATGTTTAGGAAAGGCTTAAATACTTAGTCTTTCAAATTAATTTATTATATCAGGATGGAATGATTTCCTATGGTACCACATTATTGTGAATACTCTCAAATTCCAATACAGACTATGACTATTTGGTAAAAATCGAATCCTTATATTTCTTTACGAAATAGCATCAAATCTTCGGTTGGCACTAGTGTTGTTAAACGGCTCATTTTGAGCTGATTTTTAAAAACGGCTAACTCAATACCTCATCCAGAAAAATATTACCCAAGCCTGAAGATTTTGCTCATAGAAGGAACAAATGTCTTGACATACATTTTCGAAATCTTGAGGCTTAAGCAATATTTTTCTGGCTAAAATATTGAGTTAGCCGTTTTTAAAAATCGGCTCAAAACGAGCCGTTTAACAACACTAGTTGGCACTGTTAATTAAAAAATTTTCTTAGCCAATCATTATATAAAGTAGTTAAAAATTAAAATCACTTTATAAAAATTATAACCAAAAGATTGAATCATTCTGTTACAATTAGATATACAGTGTTATGCAGATTAGATGGAAAACATTTTCATATATTAAAATTATTTTCAAATAAAATTATCCAACTTGCAAAAATAAACGTTACTTCAAATTACTCTTTACTTCAAAAAAAGGAATGCGTCACTGTTACTCGTTACCTTATGAAAAAAGGAATACCCGTTACTGGCTATTCAGAAAGTAATGTATTACTCCTTACTTGAAAAATTAATATTGTCAACAAAAATTTCCCTTATATAATATAAATAAAATTATACAAAAATAATATATATAAGATGAGTGATTTTTATAATAATTCTTTTCCTATATATATATTGTAAATAAAATTATACAAAATAATATATTGTAAGATAAGATATTTTTATAATAAAATTTTATTAATTTTAACATGAATTTATTGTCAAAATTTTGATCAAATAATCAATAGAGTGCTCAAGCATATTTCGCCATGCTAAACACAGGTTCAACTGGCGTAAAGGATGGGAGTTGTGTTATATATAACAAAAAAAAATTTTAATTAGAAGAATTTATTAAAAATTAAAGAATAATTCTTATTTTGATAAAAGCTGAATATCTTCAAAAGAATCTTCATTCAGACCCTCAAAAAGAGTAGACTTTGTACCCTTATTTTTTTTGTTGGTTTAAAAAAATGTTTCATATTGGAAACTGGACAGGTTAAATAATTTTCATCTGAAGAAGTATGTACAATTAACATAATAAATATAAATTAACATATTGTTATATTATTATTCAAAATTAAATATATATTTTCTAAGAAATTAATTAGTTTATTTTAAAATATTTAAATATATCCTGGCCGGGCCTGATTTTTTTTATAAAATACTCAGGCCGGGTCTGAATTTCAGTAAATTTTAAATCGCAGTTATTAACTGTAAAAATTAAAAATAAATATATTTTAAAATAATTCTGGAAAAAAATATAAAACCCGGGACGTGCCGAAAATTTTTTTTAAAAAAAATCCAAGCCTGGCTGTGCAAATGTTACCTCTGAAGGTCTCGGAAATTTAATAAATAGTAGCCTGATTTTATATATCACATGTAGAACTTTGATTTTTTTCCTCAAAAAAGTATAAAGGGACGAGATTTTATAATCATAAAAACTTTTTGTTTTTAAATAGTTTTATTATATTATATTTATTTGTATATATATGTTTTGTTGGCCAATAAAATTAGCAGTTGTTTATAAAAGAAAATTTATTTATTTTAGTTGTGTAATTAGTTATGATATAATGTTGTTTTGGTAGGGATTTGTTACATAAATTATCACGAATATCTTGATTGATTCAATTAATTTAACAATCTTGACTAAAATTCAACACCGTTTAAAATAAAAATGAAAGAATTTGGTGGTTGATCTGACTTAAAAACTAGGGTTTTATTCATAAAATGTAAAAGATAATTTTATAATACAATATATTTTTTCGATATTATTTAAGAAAAAATTTTAATTAATGAGTAATGTTTTGCGTTACCGTTACTCAATGTCCCTTAACAGCAATATATTACATATTACAATTTTTAATAAGTTAAATTGCAGATAAATTAAAAAATATGGAAATGTTTGCTATCAACACAACACTTTAGTTAGTATTCATCTCTCAATGTTGAGTCAAATGAACAAGATTTGATCCGCAATTTTGCCAGATAATTTGTTACAAACTGCGTTTATCACATTTTAACTTGACGCCTTGAGGTCAATATGAGGAAATTTAACGGGATGAATTAATTTATTAACATTGTCTCTGTTTGTTTTTCTAGTTAAGTGGAGTTTTAGGCGATGATTGAATTATTCATTTACTTCTTCGTGCAGATCAACTATTTTCTCTTGAATAATTAGCTCAAATTTCACTGAGCATTTAAAATTAAAATTCAAAAGTAATTGGAGAAAACAAAGGCTTAACTATGTTTTAATAGATATTTAAAAGCAGATGATTCTATTACCCTAACTCTGAATAACCTAATAGAATCATTTTGGGTTAAAATATATCTACATACAAAATTTAGTGTGGAAAGATTTGTAAAAGAGACAAAATATGTAAAACAGAGGATATTAGTTACGGGTAGTTTATAAAAAGCAAAAAGATCTGGACAAAAATCTCCCGATAATAACTAATAGTATCAATTTTTTAGGTTAAAAAGTACTCTACTAAAAAAAAATTAACTTAATATATAAGTGTTATATAATTGATATTATTTTAACAAAAACAAGAAATGAAATAATGTTTCCCTTACTTATATAAACGCTCAGTTCTTATATAATATACAAGTAATTGGCGATTTATTTTATGAGATATATTTATTTTGGCATTTCATTCAAAATAAATTACAAAATTACGATCGACGTATAAATTTAATACATTAAAGAATATAATTTGGTTTTCATTTTTTTAAACTAGGTAAATTTTTGAATCTATTTTGGTTATATTTTTTTTTAAAAAAGAGTTTTATACAAATAATAAAAAGGACAATTTATAAAATATATTTGCGCGTATAATTATAATTATTTTTTTTTAAAAATTTTTATTTTCGTTATAAAAATAATTGTTACTAAACATACATTGGATCAAGAGAATAGATGGGACAAAATATAGTAATATTAAACTCATAATATGCTACAAATAAAAAAAAATATATAAATAATATATTTTTACTATAAGACGTCGTGCACGATATATTCGATATAATACAATATTACTCGATATGAAGATAAATTTTCAAAAAATAAATACAAATATTTTAACATATTCTTACTAAAACAAAATGGACAAAATTAACTAAGATTACATTTTCCCTATCAGTAGTGTTGTTCGGATCGATTCTTAAAACCGGCTAGCCCAATATTTTAGCCAAAAAATAAGACATAAAGACTAGAAATTTTATTAATCGATGCCCAAACATTTCTACCTTTTATGAGAAAAATCTCCAGGCTTGTCTAATATTCATGGCTAAAATATTGGCTTGGCGCTTTTTAAAAATCGAGCCGCTTAACAACACTACCTATCAGTTCTACTAAAAACTCCAATTATACGATATATATAGTTTAAGAGAATTTAAATTATAATTTATATTTTTAATATTATATATTTTTAAAATATATATATATATTTAATTGTTAAAATTTTTTATGTAAATGAGTGATTATGTGATTTTGGTATATCTGGGAGCAAATGGTTATTGATGAGCCTCTGTTTGATTTCGGAAAATATTGCCAATTGTTGATCGGGCTTGAGTAAGAAAATGTGATGAAGTATTTTCTCGATATTAGGTAATCTGTACAAATATAGAAAAGTATATTTAAATTTTGATGAAAATATAATAGGAGGGATATTAGATAATCAAAATATTGCATGATAATTTAATATCAATCCGATAACTGATTTATCAACACGTACAGAACTATTAATTAGTTTTTCGAAAGAAATTCAAGAAAAATAGAAAACCTATATATTTTAGCAATTTTATGGATGCAATTGTGTATAAAATTAGTGTTTATGTTTAATAGAAATGGGTTTTTACTGAAAAATACCTTTGTCAAATCTGCAAAGCATTACAATACTTCATAAACATAATTAACTTATTTTAGAAATTGTCATATATTGTCACATCGGTTAAATATAGCATAATAACATAGTAAAGCACAAAAATTTCGGCCTAAATAATTGGACAAAACGGTGCCAAATATACTTTATAATCAAGGTATTTAAAAAAAATTGATTAAGTATGCAAACTTTATAAAGCTAGAGTAGTAAACGTGAACAAATGTTGCCATGAGAACTTGACAATCAAACCTATCCATTACACCTCCATGACCAGGAATCATTCCCCCAAAGTCCTGTATATATGTTTATTATGATTATTTTTTAAAACCAAACTTTTTAATTTTCCTTACAACAAAATTTTAACCAATCTGTCATATAATTGTTTATATAGGGGGTGGGGGGGGGGGTGTCATTTTATTTTGAATTATAGATTCGAGTAATTATATATGACGTCAGTCCAAATTACTAAACAAAGAGAAAAATTTAATTAAAATGCAATAAGACTCATTTATTTTTTAATATATATACGGAATCACGTGGTCATCCCCCCAAGGATGCAACCGCCTAGTTGGCTTTAGAAAAAAACATGACCCTTGCTGAATTCGAACCCAAAACTATATATATAGACGTTACTCAAATTTTTTTTATAAAAAAAATTATAGTCAAGAAGAAATATTTTTCCCAACCTATTTCATCCAATCGCAATTTTTTTTTATTTTTATGCATTTTAATATTTCGATTAAAATAATAATACCCCCAATTTGAAACGGCATATTATTTTTTTTAATATAGTATAATATGTATATATTAAAAAAACATATGAAAATATATCATTTTATTTATATAAAAAAAATGTTAAGTGCTTCATAAATAATCTTCCATTTGAATTCATTATCTGGCTATGTCCCATTTAGCTTTTATGGTAACGTTTATCCTACCTGAATTTATGAGATTTCTCCCAGTTGTAGGGCGAATTTTAAATTATCTTAAATTGTCTTTTTTATTTGTCCTTTATATTCCATAAATTTTCGATTGGATTTAAATTTAGGTGTCGATGATGGCCACTCTAAAATAAAAATCCATCTGTCAGGTAACAATTATTTTTACTCGATTTCGCAGTATAAAATGGTGTCCTGTCTTGTTGAAATACACTTGTACCCTCAAGAAATACGGCATGGATGATTGGGTGAAGATTGTTAATCTAATGTCTAAATATTAATGTGTTTATTAAGTGGTAATATTTTATATAAGCGCGATCCAGATTTTAAATGTCATATAAATTTTTCGGCCCGTTCATGGATTATATGTGTTCGTATTCGTAAGTGATGTGTTATAATGATTTGATAGCGAGTGATATGTATTTTATAAATTAACGTTTTTGATATTTATTTTATTGTTTTTTTTAATGAAAAGGTGTTTATTATTAAAATTATGATAATTTTGATATACATATATATTTATATGAAATAAAGGAGACATTTGTTTAAATTGTTAATATATTGACTACAAGTGGAACTATTTATTCAACCTTTCATAAGACATAACTAATAGTTCTCCCAGACTTTAATATTATAAATTCCAAAACAGGAATTAATCCAACATGCATCGATTTTTTGGCGTGATTTAAAAGAAATGCCTCAGCAATTAATCCTCTAATTTTTTTTTAAAAATGTATACCCATTTTCAAAGGCATAGTTGAACTTTTTACCAATGTAATTAGGATTTAAAATAGTATGAGTTAAAATAGGGGTACTATGTATTTTAGAAAAGCTATATATAAACTTTAACACATTCTGGGTTTTATAAACCCCTCCTCCCCCCTCCAGAATAAAGCCTAAAAATTTGCCCTAGACCATCCTTTTTCCTTAAAAAAAAATCTTGTATTCCTGTAATGTCGAAAAAGTCACAACGACATTTTACTTTTAAAATTTTTATTTTAAAAAAAAAATTTTACTTTGATTTTAAAGGCTCGCTTAAAACCGCTGGCAAAAAATCCGCCAAAAGGACCAATTACGGACCCAAAAAGCGACATGGACAATGAATGCAATTGAAACGGGTATATAGCTAACTTGTCGATGGGAATATTGAACTTTTTCAAAAAAAAAAAGAAAAAAAAATTCATTTTAATTTCGTGTAAAGCTGTTTTATTAATCAATTTGTTTAATTCAACAAATATATTAAGGTGCTATAAATAGCATCCTCGAATTTTAAAATTTTTATGAAATAATTTCTTTGAGAAACCTTTTCAAACACAAATGAAAACTAACTTAGGATTATGGTAACCCCTCTCCCTTCCCCGAATAGCGCATCCCCAGTGTCGGCAATAATTTAAAATTTGATTGACGTTTCTGACCCTAACCTATTCTTGCTTAATCTACCTTAAACAAAGAGGTTTCACGATTTTGATCAAGCCGGACCTGGCAAATTTCGCGGTATCAAAGTCTTTTCAGATATACCTTTTATAATTTAATCATGTTTATCTATTTTATTGTGAAATACTTCACACCTACTGATTTTCTTTATAATATATTTTAAATTACGACATTCATTCAGGGCAAAATATGGAATAGGATAACGTTAATAATTTCTAGGGCCTCCAGCTGGGCCTATATTATTGGTAATGTTGCGGCTAGCCCGGCCCGTGGACCGATCCTAGAGAATACTAATTCGGGGAAGGTTCATAGAATTAAAAAATTGGTTAGATTAATTTTTTTTTCCGTATACCAATCGAAAGAAATGGGTCATGGAAGATTGGTAGGGGATGAGTCTGGGTTGAAAGACTGGCCCTGGGATACAATCGATAGAAAAGGTGTCCTTTTTCTCGTTGTACTCGATAGGGCACACCATGTATTTGTAACGGCACAGTAAACCCGATATCTATATAGATATTTTTTTTAAAAAAAAATAAAAATAAATTCCGATATAGATTATAATCAGATTGGAACTAAGAGAAATACATAGCAGCCAGAACTTATTATTATAGTTTCAAGGAAGGGTTTTAACAAAAGTGAGAGTAATGGGCATTTTCTTGACTCTAGTGTTGCTACACTGTCTGTCCTACCTATTTTTAAAAACGGCCCGATTAAGATTTTAGCCAAAAATAATATTGTATAAGCCTGGAGATTTTTGTTCATAGATGGCAAAAAGATTTTGACCTCTATTTGCCAAATCTCCAGGCTTACCATAATACTATTTTGGCTAAAATTTTAATCGGGCCGTTTTCAAAAAGGCGGCATATGTGTAATCAGTAAATCCGTGGTATTAGTTGTTAAAGGGCTCGTTTTGAGACGATTTTAAAAAACGGCTAACTCAATATTATAGCCAGAAAAATATTGTCTATGTCTCGAGATTTCGCTAACAGGTATCCAAGTTCCTTCTACAAAGAAAATCTTCAGGCTTGAGTAATTCTATTCTGGATGAAATATTGAGTTAGCAGTTTTAAAAAATCGACTCAAAACGAGCCGTTTAACAACACTAATCCGTGGTATTTTAGTATAAAAATTAGAAATTTATAGGATGGGTGGTATTTAAACATACAGGAATACATTTCCCCAAATTCAGGATCTTCAAAATTTAAAAAAGGAGTTCACTAAATAATTTTGCAATTTTCCAACTTTAAAATATCTTATTTAGCGAGTTTTTTTTAAATTAAATTTTAAAAAAATCTGATTTTCGTTGAAAGTGAGTTCTTTTAGCACGAATACAAATATAAAATACATATCTTATAAATTTTATAGCCGGAAATGGATTCTTCTAAGCACGTATATAAATATAAAATGCCTACCTTATAAATTTCAGACAAATTAAAAAGACGTTTATCACGTGCAAGCCTGATTATGCATATTTCTCGCTAAAATGATGCGCGATTCATTTTAGAGAGAGAGAGAGTTTGGGACAGGAATCCTCGGAACAGCCACAAATTTATGAACTGGAAACAGAACCCATTTTTTAAAAATTAATGCGTTCCGAACCTGAATTTATTTTTAATCCATGTTCCAAATTCTGATAATTAAATTTTGAATATTTTTGTTTTAAAATTTTTTTTTGCAATATTATGACTTATTTTAATTATCATTTTAACAAAAATAAATTCGCCATTGTAACCCCCCCCCCCGCCTTCTCTAAAGAAAGAAAGATTGATAAAGTTATTACTATCCATCCAAATATGAGCGTAGAGACTAAACCGCCCCAAAACCCTTCCCACGTTTTTTTGGGCGATAACTGGATGAGGGGAGTTCTTCCGAAAAAGAAACCGAAGAGATAGGCTCCAATATCGTTGCATACTATGATCGATACGGGCACTATAAACCTAAAAGATATACAAAAAAAGGAGAAAAACATTTATGAACAGTGATGCATAGCATCCACTTTTTTTTAGCCGATACCAAAGCAGATACAAAACGAAAAAAAATATGGTATCCGGTCGATTCTACCAAAACGGATACCAAGACGGTATCTGCATCTCTTTATTAAGGCGAAATAAAATATAAATATTTCGTCGCAAGAATATCATCATCTTATGGGTACCAACTCCAAATTCCACTTTAGTTGAATCAAAAGGTATCCTAATGGGGAGGGGAGAATATTCTCCCCACTGTCTTTACATTATTTTAAAAAAATCCCAAGATTTTAATTTCTGTATAAAAGCGTATTTTTTAAGTTGTAGGGCTTACAAATTGATGCGTTTTAGGTTTGCGACATCACCCAAAGAATTCATCTTCAAATGTTATCGTCGATGTTGATTTTATTTTGCGTTAATAAAATGGTATACCAATTTAAGCAACCACAAGAAACGTGACGCTAAGCGCTTCTACCAAATTTGTAAGCCCTATCAAATATTTAAATCAGATATGGCGCTCCTTGTAAAAATTAATAAAGTAGAGTCTAAAAAAAACCATGTAAATAATTAGGTAAATATGTAAAATAGTAGTGTCAGATGAATAGCATAATTCCACTCAATTTTAATGGCTGGTGCTGGAAAAAAATCTATGAATCGCAAATTCCCCTCCTCCGTCCTTGAGAAAATAAAAAAGGGAAGAAAGTTATAGTAATTAATTTATTTTTGGTTATGTAAAATAACTAATTGGGATGTATTATATATAATTCTTTGTGATGATTGATATATCTCATAAAAAAATAAATTTCCAAAAAAAGAAGTAAACTGCATTCAATCAAAAATATTCGTTTATTTATTTTTAAGAAGTTGTGAAACCCTGAAACACCCACCTAAAAAACGTGTAAATGTTGTCAAAAAATATCTACTACCTCAAAATTTAGACTTAACAGATCAGCTTAGTGGTTTAAGTAGAAATAGGTTCTTGCCTCGAGGGTAGTTTACGGTAAACGGCGATGTCGCTCAAGCGATGCGTAATTTACAAAATATGTAATGTTAAATTCTACCGCTATGCTATCGTTTAGCAATGAATTACGCGTTGCATGGGCGACATAGCGGTATAAACGAGGCCTTAGCAGATTTTACGACATTAATAATGGACCCAAAATGAGGTTGTAACGAGTATAATATAAATAAATGTTAACCATATTAATCCCTCGAATATATTTTGCACTAATAGATGAGATTGAATGACTATAATCATAAGGGTAACGTGAGTCCAAGCGAACTAAAAAAAATTATTATAAATTTAAATTTAATAATAGAAAATAATAAAAATAAACTAATGTCAAAAAAGAATTATAAATCAAATTACATTTTTAAATAATTATAACACAGCCTCTCAAAAAAAATAGATAAAATTAAAGGAGTAAATTTTAAAATGGCCTGTTGCAGGATAGAAGATAGACTAGCCCTAAACGGCTGTCAAGTAGACAAATATCCATTATAGGAAAACACTGTCTTGATAAATAACATCCCAAAATTCGATAACATAATAAAACAAGTTCAAGTTTAAGTAGAGTTCGAAATAGTGTAGTTAAACGACTCGTTTTGAGCCGATTTTTAAAAATGATTAACTCAATATTTCATCCAGAAAAATATTACGCAAGCCTGAAGATTTGCTCATAGAAGGAACAAAGGTTTAGACATATATTATCGAAATTTTGAGGCTTAAGCAATATTTTTCTGGCCAAAATAGTGAGTCAGCCGTTTTGAAAAATCGGCTCAAAACGAGCCGTTTAACAACACTAGTTCGAAAAAAAAATCTTCCAGGAATTTTTGAGCAAAATTTTTAGAAGATTTTTTTAAAGAAATTTTTTGACTTCGTGTTTAAGGATTTTTTTTTAATGCATAAAAATTATTTTTAAAAGAGATTTCAGGCATTTTTTAAGGTGAAATTTGATTTAAACAATTTTAAAAACCCGAAGTGGAGAGATAGGGTAAGTTAAGTAACAAATATATAAGGCCAGAAAGTGGTTGAGTGGCTAAGATGCGCCGTGTTCAAATTCTCAAACCAGGTTTTGAATCCTAATCCTGTCAAAAAAATTCTTCTAGACACGGATTACTAAGATGAAATCAAAGTGATAACTTATGGACTTCATACTAGATTATATAAAATATATTTTCCTAGAGTGTATATATAGTGTTGTCATGTTTTAAATTAATCCACCTTTTTGTTTGTAATAAATCATAATTCAATTTTTTCTCTCACTCTCTCTGAATAGAAATATTTTATATTATAACCATTTTATATTTTATGGTATGTTTAAATTAATCGCTAAATTTAATTATTAAAATAATTTATATATGCTTAGTTTTTGAAATAATCATCTAATATAAAAAAAATCATTTTAATATTGTTTAATTTAAAGAGATATATAAAAGTTAATATAAGAGGATAATTTTGATTATATATTTAAAATAAAATCCAAAATCTTAAAATAAAATTTGTTAACATTTTCAAAATTTTTTTAATTATAAATTATATATCAGGATGTAATGGGCAATTAAATATTGATAACTATACTGTAAAATATATTTTTAGTTAAATTCAATAAAGCTTTTACATAGTTTATTCGAAAATTTGGCAGGTAGTGTGTATTCATCAAAATGAATGTATATTCAATTGAAAATATTTTCTCTGGGGGAGGAGGGATGGTATTTTTTAGGGTATATATTCTAAAGTTATTTAAATTTTATTGTATTAGTTAATAGTTAATACTTAGTTTAGAGCCTATGATTTTTAAAAAAAAATTAGACCAATCAAATTGTGGTTGTCGTCTATCAAGTCGTGTTTTTTTCAGTATGGCTATTTGTTGATCCTGGTCTGGCCCCGTTTTAGCACTAGTCTTATAAAAACTTCATTATGTTACAGCGAATGCCAATCAATTAATAAGTTATAATTTACCAACGAAAATTGCTTCATGTAAAATTTTTTCTTCAAGCTGAGCACGAACAGGACGAATCCAATGATGTAAAGGGTGAAGGATATGAATCGGTGATACGTTATGAGAAAACTCAAAAAGTTGAACTTTGTTTATGCAAATTTAAATTAGTAATAAAACTAGGTGTACAGTAAATTTAAGTATAAAATGCTGCGTGGGTCTCTAGGTTTTACGCATATCTTATAAAATATTTATAATTCTTACCTCTAGACCTATGATACATTCATTCATTAAAACTAGTTTTGAAGCCGGCATTTAAATATAATCTTGTGTATATTGGTTTTCCCGTATAATAATTTTTATAAATAAATGAATTTTGTTTAAAAAAATATCAATATTAAACGGGAAACCAAACTGGCCACGTCGCCAGCTGATTTGTATTGATAAGGTAATTTTAAATGAATGAATGAATTGTTAGTAATGTCTTTTATAAAAATGTGCTTTCAATTTTATGATCTTCTCGAGAATGTTTGTGGGATATATAGAGTAATATCAATCATTTCGTATTAGGATTGGCATAATTTGTGATTTTTTTGATTTAAATCGGGATTTAAACCAAATATCAGTATTTCGATTAGAGAAGTTACAGATTTAGATTAAAAATATTACATCATAACTTTTTTTTAACCTTAGTATAATATTTTTTTGAAAGTAAAAAGTTAATTCTTCAGGAGATCTGGTCAGGAAATTGTTGAAAAAAATATATAGTGATATGTCATGAGCTAATTTGATATTTTGTCAAATAAAACTGTCAACCAAAAATTCGTAGATATGTGCAAACATAGTTTTCTTATAATACCAATCGAGTATATGAAAAGTTGCAATGCACTTTCAAAGTTAAGCAGAAAAAATCGATTTTAATTTTAACATCTAGATATTGAAAGATATCATGATAATTCTCAAAATTTAAAAAAAACAAATAGAATATTATTTTTAAATTGTATTTGTATTTTTCTAATTATAATGATAAAATTATTTTTATTAAATGGCTAAATATAATATAGTAAAATAAAGCTCATTTTTCTGTTATTTTTACTAAATTTTATAAGTATTTAGTGGACTGCAAACCCTGAATCGAATGGAGGGTTAACAGTCCTGAATTTAACAGACTAATTATTTTTTTTAGAATATTAAATAATTTCTTTCTACATTGAGATTAGAATTATACAATTAACAATTAATTATGTCAAAAATTGAAGCAATAGAAATACAAAATAAATAAAATATTTTTTTTGTCTAATAGTTAATAGGTAATGAAACTAATACAATTTAGTATTTTATACATATAAAAATTATTTAATTCTAAAATAATCCAACTCTTTGTCTTTTCCTTATATTAAGTATTTCGATAAAATTTGGTAAATTGAATTTTATTTAAATTATTGATTTAAATCACTTCGGGATGATTTAAATTAAATTTATATATATTTGCCAACCCTGTATTGTATATCATTTTTTTTGTCTCTTTACCCTGCGATTAACTAGAGTTCCAAAGTACTCGACCATGCTTTCGCCGTAAAAGTAGTAATTGGAAGTTATCAAAAAGTACCAACTGACGGTCCGAAACCAGGGCAGCTTATCGATCCTGTACACGGCATAACCAATGGAGATTATCTCGGCGAAACATTTTAATTGTATGATTTGAATCTTGTTTATATATATATAAGTTTAACAAAATTAATGATAGATTTACACGAATCCAAAAAAAAATAAGTAAACTCGTCAATTTTAATATGCGCCCTCTTATATTAATCGATTACCTTTCGGTATTTCGCGTAACTAAATCTAATCAGGCTCATTTTTTTTAAAAAAAATATGGGGAGGCTCGGTCTATTGTTCGCTTTAAAAGATATCTAGCTAGTTGGAAAAAGCGTAGCCCATCGTTCACAGTTAGCGTCGCGACGAATTTTACAAAATATGATATTAATAATTTTTGTATACTTCGCCGCGAATTCGCGTTAACTGTGAATGCGGAGTAAAGCCTTGTCTAGCTAGCTTTAGGAACCACTATCTACATTAAAATTAATAAGTCGATTTAGATATTCGCCATTATATAGGAAAACGGATAGAGATGATAATTATCGTAATCTAAATATTTTAAATTAAATAATTTTGTTTTACAATTTATTTTTTTAAAGATTATTTAGTATAATTATTTATTTTAAGATAGCAAGATGAAAAAAAATTAATTCAATCTCCTCTAGGAAAAAAAAGGAAAGGAAAATGACAATTTAATAAGTATAAGGAAAAATTTAGCATGATTTTAAAATATAATTCTAGTCACCGTAACATTATATTTCTTTTCTTTTCTTTCTTTCTTGTATATAATCCCAAATAATAGTATATAGTTGTAAAAATTTTTTTTACCAATATCAGGAGAGCTAAAGGACCAAGATAAATAACCAGGCAAAAGGTTGATATCATAAGGAAACTAAATATGCCTCGAACCACGTAGTTTTTCCATCTGTAATAATTTTATAAATATATTTATTTATGTTATATATCATTTTCAAAATTCGAGTTTATATACAAACAATTTTTGTCAAAAAATAATTTTAAATATTAAACATTAAAGTTTGCCAGGAGCCTATACCTGATCTGAGTCCAAACATAGAAAAAAAATACACCATTCATTTTTCTATACATAGCGCGCATGCTAAGATTTAAATTAAATTGGTGATTAAAGGGATTCAAAAAATTTTCCTGAAAATCTTGTATGATAACTGAGATAAGGTAGTAAATATATGTATATGTATATATAATTATAACCATTATTAGATATTTATCGCGTTGAAATAATAAAAAGAAAAATATTACCGGGTAAAAAAAACTATTTAATTAATATTTTAGAAAGGAAAAAGTAAATTATAAATATAAAAGTTGTGAACTTGTTAATAAATATAAAATTTGTGACCCCTACAAATTATAAGATAAATTATTGGAAGTAAAAGGTTTAAAAAAAGAAGTAAAATCGGTTGGGGAAAAAAGGTTCTAAAAAAGAAGGAAAACCAAGTAGGGGAGGGGAAACTGTTGTCGGGTCTTATAAAAAAATTGGTGAAATTTTGCCCGATTTGTGGGGCATAAGTACATAATTAAGGGGGTAGTAAATGTATATGTGTACTGTAGGATTATTCAGAATATTAGAGATTGGCGATTAAATTCTGCTACAATTACTTCAATAAAAAGTAACTGATTCCAGTTACACTACTACATTTTTCGAAAAAAAAAGAATCGAGTAATCATATTACGAAAGTATCTTATTATTTTTTTAAAAAAAAATACGAGCCAACCACTGCAAATCTCTGATAAATATAATGAAAAGAATTAAACAAATTTGATCGTGGTATGGTCGATATCCATTTATGATAAGCCATATAGGAATCGGCATTAGTTTTTAAAGTTATGGCGTTCTTTCGTTTTAAAAAATCGACCAATCCCTTTAAAAATCAATCAAAATGGAAGTTCAGCATGAGAATAAAATTTTTTTTTTATTTCTAAATTATCGGGGTAGAAAGAAATCTGAAAAATAAAAATATCTATAATAATTTGTGAAAATTTAAATAAAACTTGACTCTTTTAAGTAAAAAAAGAGTGGTTTAAAATAAAAGAAACTTTAAAAACAAAAGTTTTCCCCCAAATGTTTTATTACTTTTTGATAAAAAATATATATCTATTTTTTTTTTTTTTAGTTATTATCGATCGTGAAAGTTTTTAAAAATAATAAAATAAGATGTAGTAATATTGATTAAAAACAAAGATCTGGTAAAATTATGTGATGTTCATTATTATCAAATATAGATATATTTTATACAGATACACAACACACACTAAAAAATATACAACTAAAAAATAATTTTTTCTTTCTCTTTTATAAAACAAGTAAAGAGGAAGAAAAAAAACCATCTATAATTGAATTAAGTTTTGTAAATTATGTTTTACGAACAAAACTAATTATAAACTAAAAATGAATGATGAAAATTTTTTAAATAAAAATATAATTTAAAGGAATGTGTCCGGGTTCGTTATATTTTTGAAACCTGGGCTGAGCTAAACAGATTTCGAACTAGGACACCCCCATATCTTGGATTGTTTTAAAGTTCGTTCAATTGAATAAATTATTTTAGTTTGGAAAAAGAAGTCGCAAAGACAACTCTATCTACTTAAATCTAAAGAGCCTCTTTTCTTTTTAGGGCAGTTTGGAGGGGAGGTCTAAACTATTGTTTAGGCTGCTTTTTTTATATAATAAAATTATAAGGTTGACTTGTTAAACAGATGTGCCAAAGGAATTCTAGATATTAAAGATGAACCACTGTAATGACTGACTGACAAAATATAGTAAGCGGATAATTTTCCCATTTTATTAGCCCATTCAAAACAGAAGTAAACTATCACCTCAAACTCGGATTTATCTTATGAAAGATAGCTCAACCCTTTGAGAAAGCGGAAGGGGGGTTAAGTCACATCTCGATGCTCAGCAATCTTTTTCCGGTACGCGTTTATAGATTGAATCGAATTAGACGATCACTCAACTATTCACTAACAATTAAAGGATATTATTTTCTACACTATATGGTCTGCAATAGGCGCGTTTTTAACCCGTCATACTTTTTAAAAAATTTATCCAGCGCTCGCCCGCCTATGGTTTTTTAATTCACCCCCCACCCTCCATTTTTATTTTCTTAAAAAATTTGTTCAACTCGCAAGCCCACCCAATTTTTAAGAATTGTTTTATCGGTTTAGTTTAGATCTTTATTTATTTTAATGTATTTTTTACTTAAACTCTATAAAATATGCAATCTCGACTAAATAATTTAAACTTAAAATCAGCCATCACCCACCTTTAAAGTAACTAAATTATACTGTAGTTCTCGGGTATAGGCTCTTTTTTTACCCCATTCCTTTTTACTGAGCCTATAGAGGATTACGCAACATTTTTCAAAATGTTGCGACTAAAAGTACGTGCGGCTTGTTCACAAACGTGTGAAGGGCTCCTCATTTTTCTCCCCCTAATTAACTATCTGTTTGATGGATTTGAGGAAAACCTAACGTAGCTCTGATGTACCCACAACCAGAGGGCGAATACGCTTTTATCACTTATCACGTAAAAAATAACTTTTACCTGTCCGTTTCACTAATTTAGCCCGAAAAAAAATTTCAAGTTCACCTGACAGCACGGCCATTGTTTCAAAAAATTTATAACTCGCCCGCTCACCCCCGGCTGGTAAATGAAATCCTAATCTCAATCGTACCGATTTTTTTTTAAATTTGAAGATTTAAAAAAAGGGTTAAGATGACCGAACATTAATGACGTTTGGTAGTATATCATAATCGTAATTTTTTTGATTACCCGTCTAACTGACACCTTTCTAAATTGATAATCAGAAAGAAAAAAAAATCTTCTTGCCCATAATGTTGAAGAAAAAAAAAATCTTAGGTTCGAAACTATCTTTTTTAAAGGGAGAACCTGTCTTTGAGTTTTGTCCGAAATTTCATTGTTCTTCAACTCCCTTTGAAATGATTCCATAGTGTATGGATCAAAAATACTATTCTCATTTTAAAATATAAAAATAGTTATTTATTTTGTTCGCCTTTCGATTCTGTTCCCATATGAGGCTTCATCCTGTGTGAACAAAAATATTTCATGGTTTCGATTGGTAGAATCAAAGTTTGGTAGAATATAGATTGGAATTTTGTAGCATTTATGCTCCGGTTTATAACCCTGATATTCATAATTAGCGCGAATTCGCGGCGAAGTATATAAGATAATGGCTGTATTTTTTTAATCTTCGCCTGGAATTCGAGATTATTCGTGAATTCAGGGTAAAGTGTATCCATTCTCGACATTTTTTCACTCCTGTAACTATATCCCATAATTTTGAAGTTTCGTTGTTCTATTAAGACAATCAAAATGATTAGGTCAAAATGGCCGCTTAAACTTTGATTCATAGCCAGGTAAGGTAAACCGTGGTAACGCCCCATTTGTCAAATTAATATTATTCGCCCAGTTCAGTCTTTCCCCGAGTTATATAAAAGAGGTTTTTTTTAAAAAAAATTGAATTAATAAATGTGGGGTATGATTGAGCTCATTTATTTTAAGATTATGTTATTCAAACTTGAAATCTTTAAAGATATCTCGTCTATGGGAAGTCAGATTGTTCCGGGCCAGTTGGAATATTTTTTTTGTAAATTTTTTTTGGGCTAGATTATGGGAACAGAATCGATATGGCTCTCTCACACTTGAAATAAATGCATTCATACATTTATAAAAAAAAGAAGGTGTGTATTGCGCAATTCTTCAAATTGGATAAAATAAAAATTATCAATTTTAAACTACCATAAATCAATTGTTTTTTTTGTACAAAGTTTAATTACATGACTTTAAAAAAAATGATTTCCTCCTCTATCCATTTTTGCAGTTTATCGATTTTTATATATATTATATAACTAACTAATGATATGAATATTTATGCAGATAAAAACTTTTACATTCCTGTTACAAAAATATTTAATTACATTGATGTCATTTTATTAAGTTAAATAAATCATTTTATCTTATCATTTATAAACCTTTACATATAATATTTTTTTAAGCATGGGAAAGATAAGGGCCGTGCCGACCCACAAATTTTTCATCGATCCAATCCCATTTTCTTACAACACCGATTCGATAACTGATACCAATATATAGATTGGTATTTTATTCGCCAATCATCTTTACACATATGATTTAAAGAGAAAAAAAATCAACATTTTTTTAAATATAAAAAAATAATTAATTAATTGTAAACTACGAATAAAACAAGGAATAATTTGAAATTATCCGTTATGGCCAAGACAATATTTGGCGAATTTATCACGAAATTATTACTCATATTTACTTATTTTTTACCAAAAAATCATCTCAAATATGGGCAATGATTATGGCTGAATGTGATTTGTTGCAAAATAATATAATAACAAAAAAATATCACATTTTTTTCTTTTAATTATAAATAATCAAATTTTAGTTCCGTTTTATTCGTAAAAATAGAATTATATATGATCTAGGCCCAATTCAAAAACGAATCATATTCGAATAATTATTAAAATGTATTATTTTACTTTTTAAAAATAAAATTTAAATTTATCAATCTGATTGTGTGGTGTGATTAACAAGGTTATGCTACAACTGCCTTTAAAAGGTTTTTCTTATTGGTACATTTTTGCTGTCAAAAAATCCCATGTCTCATCAAGAATAATCAATAAGAAATCTTTCGGCATTAGAAAATTAAATTAATATACAATTTAATTTGGTTAATAACTTGATTGCATGCTCTTTTATCATCAGATTATCATAATAAATGTTTTTTCCCCTATTTATAATTAGAGATACAATAAAAAAAAAGTCCATCATTTTCGTATTATTTTTATGTTTAAAAAAAAAAATTATTCGGATAAATTCAAATCGAATACAAATAACAAATTTTATTATTCGTACGAAACGGATAGAAGTTATGCTTCGTAATAGACCTAAAATAACCTAATCATAACGTAACTAAAAAGTTTTCGGGAAGTCTAAAATGTATACATCTTTTTCGTTTATGTTGAATGTATTTAAAGTCAAGTTGTTGTAACTTAATACCAGGTATTTGATGAAGTTTTATTTAATTTTTATCATTAAGTTTTTTTTTCCGGGCAGAATTCCCGAAAGATTTAAAGACCAAATCATGAGAATGATTTAGTTAAATTATTATTAAGGTAAGGATTATTTATCCCTAATATTAAAAAAACATTTGACATCAAAAGATTTTTTTTTTTTAAATTTATGTAAACCTATATTTCAGTCATTATTTTTGTAAGGACATATTTGTTTTGAATGGTATAAATTTAAATATGCTGTATAACAATTATCTGTAATAAAAAGTTAGTTTTTTTTTGGTTTTTAAATTTTTGAAAAAATGATGGTCAATAAATTTTTTATGACATTAAAAACAATATCAAACATTTATATAAAATTTGAAGGTTTCATAAAAAAATTTTAGAGGGCAGTGGAGGTATGTGAAATCGGCTGGAACTTATAGGTGAAATTTTTGGGTTGGACTGGATGGACAGCTGCAAAATATTTTTACAGGCCATGTTGGAATTTCACAATTGGCAAATTTATGTGATTTGCCTTCATATTCTTTTCAAAAATTTCCTTCCTAAAAAATTTAAATTAAGACAAAGATATATAGTAGATATGATAGTTAATAAATATTGTATGACATTCAATATCAGACATTTATAAAAAATCTATATGGGGTTAGAAGGATTCATAAATATTTATTAGGAGGTGAAGGTAAGCGAGGCCTTATCTAAACCCATGAGAAAAACAAGATTTATGGGTTAGCCTGGACAATATGGGCAAATATTTTAACAGACCTTGCTAGAATTTCAAAAAAATGCAAGGTTCAGAATTAGGCAAATTCATTTCATTTGCTATCATAAAATTTCCCAGTTCAGGTTGTATCAATTTCTCTTTTTTTCTTCTTTTATCAAAATAAAATAAATTTTTTGTTGAAATTAGACAAAACAATTAGTTGATTTTTATTTAACTTTAAAATTTAATTTAAAATAAAAAATTTGTCCACTAAGCCTAGAAGAAAATAAAATTTTGGGCCAGAGTAGGGCGAAGAATAATAAAATTTGACAAAGCCAGGTTTGAAGGCTAAAAAAATTAATTCTAGGGCTATAATTGGCAGGTAAGCCAGAGCCCCTCAAATTTTTTAAATTACCATCCTGGGCTGATACATGTTATTCGAATTTATATATTATAATAAAAGAAAAGTGTTTTGTGGGGTATGTTATTGTAATCTGCAGGGTCTGGCCCACCCATTTCCTGAGACCAAATTGACTTTGGTCTTAGGTGACCCTATTTTTTAAAAATAATTTTGCTCTGGGTTATGGTAAAAAAAAAATTTCTTAATTTTAGGCTGGGCTTTTTTGGGTTGGGCCTAATGATATTCATGCTCAATATAGATCTCTAATGTCAATACAATTTTTAAATAGCTCTTTTATATGCCAAAATTGGTATTAAATTTTTTTGTGTTAATGATATAATTTAAAAAAAAATAACATCCCATATTATATAAACATAATTTAATTACTATATTATGTTGCTAATGAATATTTTAATTAAAAACTTGGGTGATAATTTATTGAGAGATTTATCTAAGACATCAGTGGTATTGTCAGAAGCTTGCCCTAATAATAACTTTAATTTTTCAGCATCTACATCTTGAATGATTTTTTCATCGTCATCCTCATCATCATCCTTATTTGAGTCTGTAAAATTTTGGTCACCAGAGACATGATGAAGATCCTTTTAATAAATGAATTATTATCTTTTATATATCTTTAAATTATATTAATTAAATTTCAGTTATATAAAAATATTATAAAATATATTATTATACTTTTAAATTTTCATCATATGGTATATTTCTCTTTCTCACATCGACATCAGTCATATTTAAAATTTTGGAACATTTGATTTAGGTGAAGGATTATTCCACACGGTTTTTAAAGATTTATCAATTAATGGGCTTTGAATTCGAATTAAGATTTTATTAATAATAAAAAACATATGTAGATTTTAAATAAAATGATTAAATGTACATCATATAATGTGTTGTGGAAATTAAATTTAAAACTAATAAGCAAATCGTTTTTTATTTAAAAGGACAATCAAACTATATTTATTATACATATATATTTCTTTTATATTCGTTGATATGCATCATCCTCTCGAATCATACGCAAAAATTTAAACAATATTTAATACGAGGAAAAAAAATATACAAAAAACTCTTTTTATCATAACACAATTACAGTTGTAATATATAGACAGAAAACTATTTTTATATATCACTTGCTTCAACTATATCACTATTTGCCTGTGTAATCTAGTTCTGGTTTTTTAAATGTTTATATTTAACTTTCTTTCTTCGTTTTGTGTTAGATTTATTTGATTGTTATATGTAATGAGCACAGTGATAAGGAGTCATAGGAGCAAAGGAAGCATTGCTTCTCATAAAGTTTTTCTTAAAAGGTTCTTGAAAATTCTTAAAATAAAATTAATATAATCATATTATGTTAAAATGAATTATACTAGCCTGACTGTTTAAAAAATGGAATATTATTTTTATTATTACTCTAAGTTAAAAAAAAATTACAATTATTTTATTACTATTATCTTTACTACGTTAAAAATATATTTATGAGAACAGAAAAATTACTAAATGAAAAATATCATGCTCATATGTTATATTTTTGGGAAATTTTTATTATGTCAAAGAATATAAACAATGGGGAATCAAATATAAAATTATTTATTTTTTTAATAAATAAAGAGAAAATCATTATATTTGCCATTTTATTTACATTTTTATAAAGCAAATAAAGAAATACTTATTTTTTTTTTAGAAAAAGAAATTTTCTTTTTTAAAAATTAAAAAATTTAAAATGTCTAATAATCGCAATTATATTAATAAATATTTATTAAAATATAATTTAGTTCAAGAAATTTTGATGGTAAGAAATTGATTATTGAAAAGGAAAACCAACACCAATTTGACAAAACTTAAAAAAAGAAATAAAAACTTATATTGTGTAGTTATACATTTATTTTTCACAAGATATATATATATTTCAAATTAAAAGATTTTACATGATAATAAAATAGATTGTATATTTCTAAAATAATAATAATATAAATTATATTTTTCCTAAATTTTTTAAAATTATTTTTGATAAATCGATTTAGTTCTTTGCGATTTCTTGAAGAACATTGCACGATATTTGAATTTAATCATTAGTTTGTTTTGTCTCTAAGTTGCACCACTTGTTCCCGTAACTGCAACATACCAAATAGTTCTATCTGCATAATCAACAATATATAAATAATGTGAAATTTTTGACTTAATCCCTTATACCAGCCTAACGTACTTTCGTTTTGTAAACCGGTTGCAAATTTTTGAATCACATACCTTAGATTTTAAATCGTGATTCATTTTTTGTGAATTTTGCAACTTTTCTATTTCATTACTGGTATCCGTAATTAACCAATCAAAACTGGTTTTTGTCTTCCTACCTAAAATCATCTTAGACTTCTATCACTTATACTTTGTTTACTCATACGACATGTCTTCAAAACATCCCTTCAAAAATTTTCAGAATTTGCACAGTCTCAGGTAGCTCTATTTCTTTCTTTGAATGTGCCAATCATTCTTTCAACTTGGTCTATTGTCTTAAGGTTATAAGGTATTGTCTTAATATGAAGAATATTTTTTGATTGATCCATAGGGTCTGCTAAATCTATATGCAATCTTTCCCATAGTTTCTAACATACGTTCCGAGAACAAAGGCCCTTAAGCAATTTAGGGCCTCTGAGAATGGCAACCAGCACAAACATTGACACACAGCTCTATTTCACGGTCACAACCCGACCACCAAAATATAATCGAAAAATTGATTTCATAGCAGTCATTCTCGGATGACCTCGATAATTACGGAAGACAATTTATCGGAGTGTTCTCGGAATAACCATCCAGTCATTCCACTCAACAATTGCCATGTATAATGCATTTATTTTTCATATGATATATATTTTTTACAACTAACAATTTTATATAATAATAAAATATAATGTATATTTCTAAAATAATAATTCAATTTTTCTATCGATAAATATGGAAAATATGAATATTTCACTGGATGGGATTTTTTTAATTCTCTATATTGTTGGTCATGTCTATAATTCCCAAAGGATAATATATTTAAAATGATAAAGGATTTTCGGATATGAATAATTTTCTGAAAGCAATTTAACGGCATGAATAAACAATCTCTTATATGTAGTCAATGATTCAATTAAAATTATTTGGCAAAAATTGGATTGAAAAGATGATATATTCGATGAGCAAAATATTAATCGAAATTTTACTCAAAAACAAAAACGAATTTGTGGGTTAAAAAATAAAAATGTTTTTCATTGCTTTCATAGTAGTAAACTTGATGCCTCGTTACTGCCAAATAGGATTGAATTTATTTTTTTCTATGTGAAATGGGTTTAATTTAAACATTATATTCATAGGCATACCCAGAAATTCACTGGGGGGGGGCACTATTAGATGAATTTTTTCCTAATGAATTTTATTGGAGATCTTTCCGTCAACTTTTAGGCCTTTGGCTATATTAAAATAATTTTGGGTTTTCACTTTTTTATATAAAATTTCTTTTTTTTCTTCTGCAAATAAATTGTTGTCAGGATTTGAAAGAGTTATTAACTTTTACTAATTTTTCTTACAAATTTTTCTTTATTATTATATATTGTATACATTTTTTTGGGCAGAAAGCGGTGGGGAGGGGATTTTATTAACTTGAAATGTTATTGAAAATTGGTAAATAAATATCGATACGGGGTAATTTTCTCTTGCCCCTTCTCTCCTGGCTACTCTTATAATTATATTAAACCTCATAGTTGAAGTGTAATATGCATTACATGGTTTTTAAAAAATGTATCTACCTTGTATTCATAATATGAACCCAATTTTCAATTGCATGGCATTCAACATTCTATTGAAGATTTTCGTATGAGAGGAGGTAGGGGGGGGGGAGGCTTTGTTTGTTATTTTTACCTTAAATTTTATTGAAATTTTTTCAAAAATTTATATTAAATTTAGTCATTCGTTTAAAAAAATTATTAATTTATTTTCTGAAAATATTATTTATAATATAATAAATTATTGTATTAAATTTTTGGGGAGAGGGGTGTGGGGAAAGTAGGAATTTTATTTATCAGCTAAAAATGATATTTAATAAATCCCCCACCTCCTTATCTCTTCGAGCCGATTACATATTTATAGGATATTTAAACTTGTCCTTTAAAAATCTATAATATTTCACTTAAATCTCTCAAGCTACTTCTTTTATCTTTAATATATTCATAAACAAATTATCCAACATGTTTTCTGTTCCCCCTATTTTGTCAATTAATATTTGGGCCAATTAGCTCTCTTTCTAAAGTAGCCATAGTCTACCGAACTAACCGATCAGTTGGCGTTGACCTTATAGTTTTTAGATATTCAAGATAGTTGTGAGATGTAAGCGTAACGCTATGAAGTATCAGCGGTGATTTCGTAACCATTTAATTCACCCAAATTTGTGATAACATAGCGTTAATTAAGATTTTGAATCGACGATACTAATAAGAAGGCACCCTCAATTTAAACAAGGGATGCGTTACATTTTTTAAAATTAAAAACAGACGGCAAAAAGGAAAACGCACAATTTGTGCGCACTATAAGAGTTTTTTTTAAAAATTTTTATCATGCAATAACGATTTCTTATAAATAATTATTTAAAAAATTCGGTTAATAAATTTAACATATAATTTCAAAGACAAATATATTATATTTAGTAGAGCAATCTAGGGATGAAAAAAAATAAGCATTTTTTAAACAAAACCATTATTATTTACTGAACCTAAACCGAACCCTCAAAAATTTACTCATTTCAGACAGAATATATTCCTTTATTTATATCAGTATTATTTGTGCCAACTTAAATATCTCAAAAAATTGAATTATTTATTATTCGTATTAGAAATAACTTGTTCAAAAAGAATGGAGATCGTATAATTCGTGTCTTATATCACAAGAATTTATTGCGCATAATTTTAGTATGAAAAGATGCAAGTCTTTGTTTTATAAGGTCGAAAAAAAATATTATATTAAATTATCCCATAAGCTATCGTTTAGCGATGAATTAAGCACAAGTTAGAGGATTTAGGGGTATTTTACACCTATTGTAAACGAGGCATAAGTTTATCATTTTAATATATTATATTTTTTATTACATACATTATTTATGTATAATCATTTAGAGTAAATAATTTTTACTACTCAAGGCAATATTATCAATAAGTAGATATAAGTTTAATTTGCCTTACAACAATATTATTCGTTGGAATTAAATATTGTACAGCTGATTATGTAAAGCGCATCAATTAAAAGTCATGTATTTAATAAATTCATGCGATTAAATCGTTTGGTACATAGCATTAGGCATCATATAGTAACCGCTATGTCCCATGGTTGTTTAATTTAAAAGTATTATATTTTGTAAGTCACGCGACATTGATCTATTTTCGAGCGATATCTCTGTTACTGTATACTAGGCCTTAGTTAATTTAGAATCAATATCACAAGAATAAAATTATATTCGTAAAGTGGTTCATGTAAGTGCATATAACTTCAGATAGTAATGTTGCAAAAGTGATATTCGTAGAGGAACGTCATTTATTCATTTCATGCAAAAATAAATAGCGTAAACATATTATTATGACAACGTAATATTAAGCTCGTTAAATAATTATCAATATTATTTATTTTTTTTATTAATAAATGTTTTAGCATATTAAGAATTTCGACACTAAATCAAAATGTCCAAATGGGACCCATTTAGCAGACCTTCAGTCATAACTCAATACAGTGAACTTGAATGGAACAATGGGCAGATATTAAACCCTGACGTGACGATTACTATAAAGGATGAAAAAATCGGTGCCCATAAAATAATTTTGCAATTCGCCAGGTATATAAATTATTAACATTGTTTAATTTTACATAATCTCTCTCTACCAAATTAGCAATTACTTTTGGAAGCTCATACACGAGAAGAAAGGGCTGAGGGAAATAAAAGTCCCCGACGAATTTAATATTCAACCCGCTGTATTCAAAAATATTTTAAAGTTTTTCTACACCCAAAAATTTGAAATCGACAAGGACAATGTAAACGACATAGAGAAAGCCTGCGAAAAACTGGAATGCGATGATATTCTTTACAAATGTAAAGAGTTTAGAGAAAAGGACAAACCTCAAACAAAGATTGAAGTGCCTCATGCGGGCGATATTGCTATCAAAACTACAGATGGTAAACCACCCGCACCTCCCGTAGCTTGGGGAACCGAATATTATTCTCCTGAATTTTTATGGAAGCCATTGGTGCGTGGTTCAAATTTTTTGCATTTCTTACAATTTTTGTGGGATCAGGGACGGGCAATATTTTCTGATGTTACCGTTATCACCGGCGGAGTCGCATTTCGTGCGCATAAGATGATACTCTCTTGTCACAGTTATTATTTTTCGGATATTTTTTCGAAATCCCCTCACGCGACCGAGATCATGTTGCCCAAATCTTACGATATCAGTGCCTCAACTTTTCACAAACTATTGAAATTTATGTACACTAATAGTTTAGAAGTTGAACCTAGAGATGCTAGTGCCTTATATCATTCCGCTGTTATTTTAAAGATGACGCAATTAATAGGATTTATAGAAAAATCCTATTTCAAGGAACCTTATGGACATAAGGCAAAAATAAATCAGGAGCCAAAAATTAGTGACCAATTGTCTCCAAGAGGCTTTGAAACATCGGCATTAGCTGAAGCAGAATTAATGAAACTGTTAGGACCCCTGCCAAATGCCAATTCTAATATGCAAACAAGTATGCCCATTGCTGATTATATGTCAACAAGTATGCCCATTGTTGATTTCAATATGCCGCTTCCTGATTTAAATATTCCAAAAAATAATTATCAGCAATTTTCCATGGTGAACAACTTTTTAAATTTGCCAGCACCCGTTACCCCACTTCCTCAAATCATGGCTCCCAAAACGCTTATTCCTGCACTAACTCCCATTCAAACCTTTAATTATTCTCAAAATATACCACCAATCACATTCCCGCAATTTCCTCCGATCCCTAGTATAATGCCCCAAACACAGCCACAAATGTGCACGACTAATTTACAATTCGGGAATGATTTCCTAGAATTTGATATCGATAAAGTTATCTCGATTTTATCCAATGATAATATAATAGCAAAGAGTGAGTATGAAATTTTTAGAGCGGCAATGAATTGGTTGAAACACAAGCCAGAAAGATTAACATATGTTAATGATATTATGAGATGCATAAGATTTCACTATATGGAGCGAAAGGATTTGATGAACATAACAAGCATGACACGAGATTGGTTCGAAAGGAATAGCACCTATAGAGAAATGTTATTGAAAGCGAATTGGTATATTTTTTCATATTCTTTTGATACTAATTCATAAATATATAGAGTTCTATCTCTGATAGTTTAAATTAAATTGTGATCAAATTATTACCCTCAAATTACCCCTCTCCCTCACCTTCCCTATTAATCGTTTTACATAATGTGTTATGTTTTAAAATAGACAAGGGTTCATGCGAACCCTAAAAGGCAAAAAAAAACAATAGAATCGGAAATCGAAACTACTGGTATTTTAAATATATATGGCTGTAATCAACAATGGGCATATCAAATTTTAAAATTTGTGTATGTTTTATTACTTCATATATTTTTGAAAAATTAGAGCATTATAAAAAATTTACAGAGTAAAAATTATATATTGTGTTATAAATATTTACTATGGGATAATATGAATCTTTATGGCGAATTCAGTATCCTAGAAGAAAATCTAAGTGCTCCCAAGATCCTTTAAGTTATATGATGCCCGGTCCTACAAATTTTTTAAACCCCTAAAATGGATCAAAGAGGAATTAGATTATAACCTAAAAATCCAGTCTCTCCATGAATTCGAGGAGAGAGAATAATGGTAATCGCATATCTTTCAGGGATAAGGTCTTTAGAGTGTGGGTAAATAATATTGATAGGTAGACAGTGGCATATCTAGCCTTTACAATTTCAGTGAACTCAAAATTATTTTTTGGTATTACCTGAATTTTTTTTAGCTACCATCAGAAACCCGTAGGCCTGGCCCTAATCCCAGCCCTGGTATATGGGTTGAGCCGTATTTTAATTTTTTTAAATATACCCGGCATGCCCAAAAATACCCGAACCGGGCCGTATTTTTTAAAACCAAATATTTTGAATTTCTATTATTCGCTATAAAATAAAAAATACATATTTTAAAAAATCATGGCTTTTTTTATAAAGAACAAAATTTTCAGGTGACTCTAGGAACCCTTGTGCCCCCTTCCCCTTAGTGTCCCTACTGCAGGCATGTTGCCTCCAAAAAAAATTTCTAATAATTATATTTTTTCCCTTATATTTATAATTGTTTTTTTTAGGTTTATAGTCTCTGGAGATAATAACATTAAATCATCCCTAAGTGATCCAATTCCGATGAGGAGAAGAAGGCTTGGAGAAATGTACAACGAGATTGGAGCTGGGGAAAGATATAATATGGCAAAATTGCCGACCACTTTTCAAAACACTTTGACCAATTATAATATGTTTCCTACACTACCACCTCCAATATACCCCATCAAAGAAAACACTTTTACCAATTTTAATATGTTTCCTACACTACCATCTCCTATATATCCCATCAAAGAAAACGCTTTGTGCATACAGTGTAATACTCAATGGCCTTATACAGCTAACAAACCTCTTTACGGAAGATCGCCTTACTAATCGTATTAAATCTCTATACTTCTTCACATATTTAAAATGATATTTTTTATTAAAAATTTATAATGCTAATGTAATATTAATGTTTACTTTATATTATTCAATCATGTAATAATTTATTAAAAATGCTATTTTAAAATAAATAATGCTAACTTTTCAGACTTCGTATTAATTACTTACAAATTAATAAATATAAATGCATAAAGAAATGAGTTATATATATCAGAGACTTGCAGACCTAAAAAAACTTTTAAATTCCCGGGCCGGGCCGATATTTTACATCTCCATTATTATCTATAAAAATTAAAATAAATATAATTTTTTTTAAAAAAATCCGAACCGGGCATATATAAAATCCGGCCCAGACCGGGTCGAATTTATTTCAAATCCGGGCCAGGTAAAGCTATGCAAATGGTATATCTGCAAGTCTCTAATATATAGTATATAACTTAGTTTTAGAATACTAATCAGTCCTTTACATTGATTTCAGAATATTTAGCATGAGTAAGACAAAAATTAACGATAAGCCAGCTAGCATGGTACATTTTTTAACTTATCTATTTTATACTTTCTGACTGAAAGCTCTAATTTAAAATTATACAATTCCTATTGGTTTAGGATATTGATTAAGGGATAGATACCCGATATTGTTATCAAATTGAGGGCATATAATATCGCAACTTCTATGTGTGGGATTGAAAAGTATTTGCCACGTATTCCGCTTTCATTAACATAGACAGCCATTTTAGATTTGTATAAATTTATCCCTATACAAAATATATTTGAGGGTCATTTAATATTAAATTAACAGTGAAAAAAACCCCTACTAATCCACTCATATTAAATTTTATGCCCTATTTTTATTTTTGAGTTCTTCTACCCTAATTATGTTAATTTTTTCAAATCGCCGGTTGAGTATTATAGTGTTCTATATATCTACGTCTGAGAATTAGGTTATTCAAATCCAATTTTTGTCAAAAACTACTTTTTTAAATAAATCGATTTTTTATAATTATAAAATTTTATTTACATAAAAAAAATCCATAATATTAAAGTTCAAATTGTAGTCAATATATAACAATCGTAATGAAATCATTAGAAACTTAATGATTAAAATTGCTCTCCTGAAATTACAAAAAAGTGGAGATGGAATTATCTTATTATCAGGAAGCGATATATTGTTTTAAGTTTATCAGGAAATCTTTGCATTTTAAATGGGAGATCACATTGTAATAATGTAAATAAAGGATTATTCTAAATTATATTTTAACATTTTTATTAATGTTACGGAAGAATACAGTATGGCAGAAATTTTTTAAATTAACACTCCTTAAACGAAGTAAAAAAATTATCATTACCTCTTGATTAAACTTTTTTTAGTCTATAAGCTTCTATTAAATTATTAAGACCTGCTTCTATAAACCTTAAACAAGGGTGTGCCATTTTTATTAGAGCTGTGCTGATAATAGAGGGTTTCCCATTCAAAAAAGAAAAAATTACAATTAAAAAAGGAAAAGTTTCAATAATAAAAGGAAAAACTCCGATCAAAAAAGGAAAAGGTTCAATCAAAAAAGGGAAGTGTCAAACAAAAAAAGAAAAGGTCCAATTTAAAAGAGAAAAGTGTCGATCAAAAAAAGAAAAGTCTATCAAAAAAGGAAAATCGTTACTTTTTAAAATATTTTTATAATTTCCTAAATTTTATTTTATTATTCCTTCTTATTTTATTTTTTTGCGATTTCTTTACTTTATTTTTCTTACTATCTTTTCTCAATTTATTTTTCTTCTCATTTTTGATAATTCTTTTGTCTTTTTAAAAATGATTTATGAATTTCCCTGTTATTTTCACTTCTCTACACCATTTTTTTAAACAAATCTTTCCTTTTTTTTTCATCATACATAACAATATTTTAACTTTTTATAATAAAATAAAATATTTATATCCATATTTTTTAGGGAAAAAATATAACCCTCAAAAAAAGAAACGCATTTAACTAATGGCGTTACTTTTCCTCAAAAAAAGCACTGTTAATAAGTATTTAAAATATATTTAAAATATATTTAAATAAGTCATTTTACATAAATGATTTAAAATATTATTCTCAATAACGTTATTATCAACATGCATCATATGTTTTTACATCATGAAGATGCAATTATAGCAAAGATAATTCATTATAAACCAAATATTTATAGTAATTGCTCCAGATGACATATATATTTTTTAATTTTTGTTTAATAATATTTTTGAACATTGTAAAAGCTTATTAATATATCTTTATACCAATGTTTGAAAAATAGTAGTTGTATACTATACTCCTTCCCTTGCATATGGGATACAATTTCATAAAATCTATTCAATTTAATACCAAAAATGATTGTTATTATTCTAAAAATAGTTGTTTATGTTTACTTTCTATCTTGCCTGCTTAGAAATAAATAATTGGGTATCTAGTTTGCTATCATTGATGACCTAACCAAGGGTTTGGGGCTACTAGGTTAAAAAATCATTTTTTCTAAAACATGAAAATAATTAAATATTTTTAAAAAAAATAACAGTGTATATTTATAGGTATACGTGTTTAACGTATCGATTGGCTTATTGCAAGATCATATACGATCATTATTTTCAGCTTTAGTGATTTTGACATAAATTGTGCCAACTAGTCCTAGTCTCCCCTAAATAATATTTTTTTCAGAGACAAAGTGAGTGTTTTAGAAACACAAAATGCCTTTTTTTAATTCTAATTAGATAGAAAAATGACATCATATCAATAAATAAACTATATAAATGTAAATATTTTAATATGCAAAAAAAAATATATTATTTTGTTTTGGAATTTTATTTTAGATTTTCTCAATGTTTTCTTTAAATTTTTATATTTAATTATTATATGGTTATGTAGGTGATTTTTTTATATAAAATGCGTCAAATGTAAAATAGGGCAAAAAAAATTCAAAAAATCATATTTCTGGCTAAAAAAGAACCATTTTAGAACTATAATATCAAATATAATAGGGGGGGGGGGCTGATGTTTTTTCAGTGTTTAACATCTTATATAGGGTTCTACAAAATCCATCTACAAACAAATATTTTTGAAATATAAGGTTTAATAATGATTTAGCTATTTGTTAATTCTTTACGGATGGAAACCGAACCTAACATACCCTTTCTCACTCTTATTCTATTAAAATGACTACAAGGTTCTATCTCTACTTTTCTAAAAATATACTCTTTTGCATTTTCAAAAAAGTTATATGATATAATAAAATCAATAAATGGATTATTCATAGTTTAAGTATATCTAAAATTTAAAAAAATATCTAAATATCTTATAGTTTCTGCGGGAGAGCATGGTTTGAGTAGAGGTAGAATTATATAATAATCAAGAAGCGATATATAAAATTATTTCCGTAAACATTGGAGAGGAGCCAAAGAAATTCAGAAATAGTATGTAAAGCACATTTTTGTTTACCTTCAATTGACGTATTTTATAGGGAGGATGTTATATATATATATTGCAATGCACAAATAATAATATTTATTTAGCAAAAACGTCATTTTGCCTTCCTTTAAATTTATCCTTTAAAGTAAATAATTTCTTGATGAAATGCTAATCAAATAAAACCTTTATATTGCATATATATTCATATATCGTCGGTCTAGAATTGGAGTGCTCCATTTGCGCAAAAGTTTAAAATGAGAAAATCAACATTAAAGTTTAAAATCAAATATAGGAAAAAATTATTGCTCAATTTAATTCAAAATTTCAGAGATAATTTATTATATTGTTAATTAATTATAGCCTAAAAAATTTTTAATCAAAAAATTTAAATATAAAATTTATTTGATAAAATCAAAATGCAAGTGAAGCAAATTAACACTTTATGATTTTTTTTAAATGTTATAAATGCTTCCATTTACATTTTTTTAAATTTAATAAATAAATCAACAATATATCTTTATTTATTTTCTAATTTATTCTTACAATTAATAAAAATGGATATAAAATAAATCTAATATTTAATTAATATTTAATTAATAATATTTTCCATATATTCTCTATCAACTCTGGGCATGAACTCTAACATTGATAAAATAGATATCCAAAATTATCAAAAATTGCCAAAGATTATTTTGATTAAATAAATAAATTTTATATTTACATCACCTAATAAATTCCTAGTTTAAAAAAAGAATTTGGATTCAGTAAAATTTTGAGAGTTGGTTCTTAGCTCTGTTTTTATGGTAATGCTTCATGATTTTTTTTCCATGTTTATTTAAAACTAGAAATTAAGGGTTTTATAAAATATATCAGGTTAAACCTAGTCACAACAATAATAACTTAGAAATAAACAAATATGTGGATGAAGCCACAATTTGTAATAATACAAATCCATTAGACTGGTGGAAATTAAATAAAAATAGATATCCAAAATTATCAAAAATTGCCAGAGATTATTTTGATTAAATAAATAAATTTTATATTTACATCATCTAATAAATTTCTAGTTTAAAAAAAGAATTTAGATTCAGTAAAATTTTGAGAGTTGGTTCTTAGCCCTGTTTTTATGATAATGCTTCATGATTTTTTTTCCATGTTTATTTAAAACTAGAAATTAAGGGTTTTATAAAATATATCAGGTTAAACCTAGTCACAACAATAATAACTTAGAAATAAGCAAATATGTGGATGAAGCCACAATTTGCAATAATACAAATCCATTAGACTGGTTAAATAAAAATAGATATCCAAAATTATCAAAAATTGCCAGCTTTGATTAAATAAAAAAAATGAAATTTATTATATTAACAAACTAATACATAATAATTCAAATATTTAATTTACAATATGTAATAATATACCTCGACATTAAAATAGGAATAGAAATGTAATGAAAATTATACGATTCAATATGGAAAGCAAAAAATTAAAAAAGGAGGGAAATAAAACACGTGATTAAATAAGATAATATGATAGGGCATGCATATGAAGCAAAAATTA